AATATCAATCAATCAAAGTACGCTAATAGTAGTTTAGAGTTAAGTATTTTTGCTAACAAGTTTATGTCGATAGCTGAAGAGATGGGACTACAATTATAGAATACTGCTGTGAGTATTAATATCAAAGAGAGATTAGATTTCTCTTGTGCAATATTTGACAAGGATGGCAATTTGGTGGCAAATGCTCCTCATTTACCTGTTCATTTAGGCAGCATGAGTGATGCAGTAAAGTGCTAAATCAATAATTTTAATGAAGGAGATATCATAATGAGCAATCATCCAGAAATGGGTGGATCTCATCTTCCTGACATCACCATCATAACTCCTTATTTCAAAGATCACCAAAAACTGTTCTATGTAGCATCAAGAGGACATCATGCAGACATCGGAGGAATAAGTCCTGGGAGTATGCCAGCATTTAGTAAATACCTAAAGGATGAAGGAATTGCAGTGAGATCATTCAAAATAGTAGAAAATGGAGTATTCCAGGAGGATAAACTTATTGAATTGTTGCAGGAGAGCAGAGAAAAACAGGATAATGTTTAAGATCTCAAGGCTTAGATTGCTGCTAATAACAAAGGAATACAGTTGATAGAATAATTGATTACTTAAGAAGGATATGAGAAGGTGGATCAGAATATGAAAAGAATATAAGAAAATGGAGAGAATTGTGTTAGGTAGATGTTGTATGAAATTTCCATTAAGAATAATTTAAAGGAAATTGATACAATAGAGTCTGATGAATACATGGATGATGGATCTAAAATTAATTTAAAGCTCACCATTAATAGACAGGATAGATCAGTCATTTTCGATTTCACTGGAACCTCTCAGTAAGTCTTGGGCAATACAAATTGTCCAGTTTCAGTAACCAAAAGTGCTATTATATACTGTCTAAGATGTTTGGTCGATATGGATATTCCATTAAATTAAGGTTGCTTGAATCCTACACAAATAATCATTCCTAAGAATTCATTACTAAGTCCTAATCACCTCTGTGCAATTGTTGGAGGCAATGTCTTGACTAGCCAAAGAATAACAGATCTTATTTTAAAGTGCTTTTAAGCTACTGCAGCATCACAAGGTTGCATGAATAATTTTTCATTTGGAGGGTTTAATCAAAGATCCTATTACGAGACCATTGGAGGAGGCAGTGGAGCAGGAGATGGATTCAATGGAGAATCTGGAGTCTAAGTTCACATGACCAATACTAGAATAACTGATGTTGAGATTATCGAAAGGAAACATCCAGTACGAATTTTATCGTTCACTCTTCGACCAAACAGTCATGGCAAAGGAAAATATTCCGGTGGGGATGGTATTATCAGATCATTCTTGTTCTTAACTAAATTGAATGTCTCATTATTAACAGAGAGAAGAGTCTTTCCACCTTTTGGTTTAAAAGGAGGTCAAAATGGGCAAAAAGGAATCAATCTGTACAAAACTCAAGGATAATCATTTCTATTAAGTGGAAAGGTTAATTTAGATGTTCTTCCAGATGATGAAATTTGGATATATACTCCTGGGGGAGGAGGATATGGACTTATATGATCCGATTATATTTATACAGTAATTAATAATCAATTTTTATGAATTAATATAGTATTATTATGATAATAAATAAAATAGCCTTGATTTTATCTTCCATTTATATGTGTTTAAATCACCATAGTGATAAATAACAGCAGCATTAATGATATTATATATTTTCTGATATTTTTAAATTCAAAAATTTATTGAATAAATATATTTAAAGGTATAAGTAGAATATGAAGTTTCTTACTAATATTGATAATTAAATAAAATCCAAATTAATATTCTATTAAATGATGTATATATATATATATATCTTATCATTTTATTTCACATCTCTTGATATACTACCTCTAATTTTCAAAGTCATTTACAATGAACTTCAAGAATGATTAATTCAATTATCCATAATAACCTAGTTATCCATTCTTTAAGGTCTGCTAGCTTTTATCAATTTCCAGATTGAATGATGTGTATCCTTCTATGATAATTGGACTATTGATATTTTAAACAGATGAAACCATTGATTTTGCACAATTCGAATTAGTATTAACATATTCATTAGTCAAACTGATAACCACACTAACACTTTAACTGGAGGTCAGTTTTTCATGTAAAATCAATTTGTAATGGATTTGTTTATTAGATTCTCTGCATTCAATGTCTATTAAGTCATTGCAACAATGTTTGATGATGTCTTCTTAACTCAGATGCTAAAATGGATTCAAAATCCCAACATTGCCACTAAATAGATTCTTCCAAATCACTTTAAGATCTGGGTTGGTTAATTAATTTAAAGGTAACTTCCTAAGTTTTAATGCCTAAGTGTAATATTCACAATCTTCATTAAGAATTTCATTGAATTACCCATCTATCAAAATCTAAGACTGCAATTCCAGACTTATCAAGAAATCTTTCTTGACTATTTAAATGCTCAAAAAACAACTGTCTTACAAATCGTATATCTCTCTGATATTATCATTATTGCATCTGTATTTGCTAACAAAATGACATTGTTAAATCACAGTCCTCTATCGTATTGAAATCAAACGATTCAATTTGATTTCTCTTTAGTATAATGCATTGTTATACCACAAGAACAAAGTCAATGATATTTTCTTAATGAGATGAGTCTTGTGAGGTATTTTTGGTATTTGGATATGCACTTAATTATTTTGATTTTCGAGATCAAAATCGCTTAGTAAAACATTTATGGAACTAAATCCATCTAAATTGAAATTATGGATAACCTATTTATATTCATAGATGGGAGGGTCCTCAGATTCAACGATAATCTCAAAGGCAAAATTTTCGATCGATTGCTCTGACTTATTCTTAATGATAAATTAATAGGTGAACAATTCACTGGGATCAAAATAAACTGCCTCTACTTCATTAATTAATGTGGAATCCCTATAGATTGAGGCTTGCACATTTGGAATGTCTTCAATTATTTGGATATTGTGCAAATTAAAGAGCTATTGTTCTTGTTATTGGGTTTCCGATGAAAGGAGGGCAGAATAACCAAATTAATTCAATCTATGAACATACTAGTAGTTTAAATATTGAATTCTAATCCCAACAATCTTTAATAAACCCACTGATTTTGGTCTAATTGTAAAAGTCACAGGGTGATTTTTAGTATTAGCCAACAATGTGATACCTTTGGGATAAGAAACACAATCGCTGCCTTCTATCTCTAATACCAACTTATCTAATTAAAAATCAAAGGAGTATTCATTAGAAATGTATAAAACCAATTCAATAAGTGAATTGAGTGGATATTTCAACTCGTTCTTCTATTCCTTATTCGCCCAAGGATTCACAATAAAGACATCTTACCCTTCGGCTTGGGCTTTAGCTTCTTTATTAATCAAGCTAAACTTTTCCTTGAAAGGTATGATTTGGAGTCTTTCTACTTTTGGAATCATGAGCAGATAGGTTTATTTTAATTCGTATTTAACAGATTCCTGCTTTAGAATTGAGAGCATAGTTTCTAGTTGTTATTATGTGAAATCTGGTTTGAACATCTGTATTCTTTAAATCTAGGTGTTGTGTTGGAAGTAGGGTCTAATAAGATGAAGATGAATACATTCCTTAAAAATTATGTTGGATCTCCTAAACAAAATTGTGCTACAGGGAAGTCCAGAATATATTGCTCTAATCATCGGAGAAGTAAGAGTTGAGGCCATACATGGTGCTGGATATTTTGGTAAGTTCTAGAGCCATGGATTTATTGATTGTAGCCAACTAGAAGCTTGCCAAACGAATGAAATAAGCTTATTTTCTTTTCATTTGAATCTGACCGTAGAGTTCTGAGACGAAGAGATAAAACTTGCATTTTTCAATAGGGGATTCAGGATCAAAGGTCTTAGTAAATAAATCAATCGTTTTATTGAGTCCCAACTTATCATTTGAGGCTTTTCGATATTGCATTAATTTAAAGAAACATTCAATTTCTAGGTTGATAAACTTGGTTTTCTTGAGAGCAGTTAGCGATTCTCTGAAATGCTCTTCGATTTCTTCGAAGGAAGATTTGGATGCTGCCAAATGCTATTGAACAATTCCACACCACAAATAATCATTGTTCTTATTCAAGTTGTCTAAGGCTTATTTGTAATACTCAATGGCATCCAGAGGATCATTGATCATGAGTGCAAGATCGCCCATAATTTTAATTTGTCTGCCTTGTTTTCTCTTTTTCAATTTGGATTGATCGCTAATCTTCTCTTCTTTCATATTAAAGACAACGAGTTGGGATTGATCATTCCTTTAATTAATTAAATAGATGGATACTTCAATCTCAAAATTTCCGATGCGAAATATTCAATGATTTAACACAAATACAATTGTAATTGATCTTCTAAATAATAAACCATTTTATCATCACTCAAAGGCGGAATGATAATGAAGGTCTGTTCTTACTCTATATTTTAGAATGAATTCACTCCACAATTAAACAACAGAAATCTGATTAACTTATCGTCATTAACTTTTTTTTTTTATTTATTTATCTCATCGATAGGTATCAATCCTTCTTGCAAATCGATTACAAAAAACATCAAAAAAGGCTTCCTAATATGATTATCTCAATATCTACATGTAAATCATCAACTCAGGCCAATCCAATTAGAATTCCTAATCTATCACACTTATTGTAACAAAATCACTATTCCAATCCTTCTTAGAAAATACACCCATAGTATTTTTGTACAATTGATTCTGATAAAAATTACTAAAATAAATCTTTGAAGGCATAGATTAGAAGATTCTAATCATTCTGTCAAGCTGATCTTGTTTTGTGTCTCCCAGCCTCTTACATAACAACTTGATAGATTTCATATCCTCCAACGTACGCTCAAAGTTATTCATATTATAAACAATACAAAATTTATTATATTAATAAGTAGAGCTATGCAAAAACTTACTACTCAAAATACATACAAAATTACATAAACAATCTTAAATCAATTTTACGTATTTGCTAACTGCTGCTAGATTAATTTTATAAGGTTCATTAATGACTCTTTGTCTATCTTGTTTTTCTCAATGAGTTAAGTAGCCAATTTTGAAGCAGTATCATTTTACTTCACAGCAATCGATTTCACTTGAGCCTCATTGACTTAAGGATTAAAGTTACATTGCTCTTAGTTGATTCTTTCCTATTGTTCAATCGATTTTTAATTCTTTTTGTTATAGATTTGGTCGCAATCATTTAAAGTTTTATTTTAATGTTAAATCTCAGAAGCCACTCTTTTTTGATGCTAAGTTGCCAACATTTAAGTTTGCTTAGTAGTCCTAAAAGAAGTGTTTGCATCTTAATATAGATGATTTTTTTTATAAGTCAAGTGATTCACATTTAAGATTCAATATTTCTATAATAATAGATATGGAGTATAGGCTCTTAAGTTTCCATGAATATAGTTATTCCATTATTAAATTAAACAGGAAATTTAATTTTTTATTAATTTTCATAATTTCGAAATTGATTTATTTCATTAGGATAACCTTAGACACATAACAGAAAACATAGTAAATTCCTTGACAAAATTAAATTAAAATCGTTGGGCATTTGAGACTTTAGAATATTTCAAACTATAATCGTCTATTTGGGGGCAAATCCCAAATCTCTAGGATGATAACCACTCATCAAAGGATAACAAGCATAAAATCGCTTTCAAATTGGAACTAATAGGTTAATTTATATTAGGATTGTAAATCTTTAAAGGTTTCACACGTTGCTATACTCAAAACTTGATAGAATTCTCTAAAAAAGTAATGAATCACATGTTTTTCATTATGGCTCCCTCTTAAAAAACCATTTGCTATTGCTATGTTATCTAATTTCTTTGGCAAAAAGGCTTGATTGTAGAGTCTATTTACAATTTTGTTTATTTTGGATTAATCTTTTGAGTTGGTTTAATTTGAATTTCTGGATTTTATGGTACACTTTGTTTATTCTGACTTAGTCTTTCTCAAAAGAGATTCTTTTTATTTGAATTCTTCTTGATTTTCTATTAGAGGATTGTTGAGTCTAAAGGGATTCAGAGCATTCTTGGATGTAATGCTTTTTTGGTTACAAATAAAGTGGTTTTGACACATCTTTGGACTTCATATCTATACTTTTTTTGACTAATTCTTGGTTTGAATGAACATAGTTACAATTACTATTATCCATAACTATTTCTTAATTTGTTCTTCCTCTAGATTAGGTCTTAATATTCAGAATTTAATTTATGATATAGATTTTGGTTTAAGTGTCAAAATTCATTGGATTTAGTAAGCTGTTTTGATTTTATTATACTTTTTGATATATTAAATGATTTTATTGGATGATAGGATAAAATTAATCTTGGTTATTATTGTCAGTTATAACAATGGACTTTTCAGTTAAGGGTGTAATTGGACTATCACTTGATAATGATTTCATTTATAAAGAAAAAATATTATTAAATAATTATGTTTAATTAAAAAACTCAAATATCAATTCCATCAATCAATTGACTATTTATTAATGGCTTCATTGTCAGTGCTTCTAAACAAATTTACTAGGATATCAGTTAATTGCTCAATTCTGAGGTCTAACAAGGATATTATAATTTTTACTTTCAAAGAATTTATTATAACTTCTGAAGAATGATTATTCTCTGAATTCGGTTTATGGGTTTTTCTTGCGTAATCTGAAGATCTTGAAGATGATAAATTTGACTATCTGTTTTTTGAAGATGATAACTATGATCATGACGATTCCCACACTGAACACTGAATAGATCACCCAACTGAATCTCCAGAATAATCTTAGAAATAGATAAATGCTAAACGGCAAAACTACAATTTGATAACATTTGATTTAATGGCTGAATAAATCAATGGTGAATCTCTTATCAATTTAATAATTGTGAGTGATAGCATACTTATCCCAGAAATAAATGTAGATCGTAAATCCAAGACAAAATAATACAGCCACTGGACATATGTAAATTAAACAAAGAGCAGTGGTCAAAATAAAAAGCATATTAAATTATCTTCCCCTTTAGGAAATAAAGGCAGGAGTCATGATAAAATTGAGTTGGCCTTAAAAGAATCTTTTTGGGTTGAAATTCTTTAAAGCTTTTCTTTTTCTCAACCAAAATCTTGTGTGTCTAATATGAAATGTGTGAAATATTTATTTGAAGATGATTCTGTGAATGGATAGAGTAACCAAATCATAACAAGCCACAATCCTATTCCTTCCTCCCCATATTTCAAATGTTGCAATATATGGGAAAAATTAAATTAAAAAATATTGGATGACGACAAAAAAGTGCATTATACTCTCTTCCACTTCTGTAAATGTACTTCTCCTACTCTTAGCCATCTACCCCAAGATTGTTAAGGTAGTATAACTTGATAAGAAAGTAACCAAAACAGCCAAACAATTGGCGAGTATTTTCTCCCAAGTGGACAATTATCCATTACTCTTCCTCTCACTCTGATTTGGATTGTTTTAATAAAAGTAGATCAACTCAAAACTACCCATCAACAAACAACTTGCAATTGCAGCTGTAAAAATAGCCTTAAGTCTAAACTTTAATCTTTTGAAAGTGTCCATTCCAAGATTCTCCCAAAAGATACCATTGATTCTGAATCCCCTCTTTACTCCTATTTGATAATGTACCTATTCAACGTATTTATTGCTATAATCATATTATTGTTTAGCCAATTGAGTATTCTGATTGAAAACACTCACTCTTGCCTACTGCACAGCCTAAGATTAGATTTGCAGATCATCGACTGACACTGCTCTACTATCAGAGTATAAGGATGTCAAATCTGACACTTGGGTTTTCTGTAACTATTTCAATCGATTTTGCTCCTTCATCACTTCGTATCTGATCAGCAACTAGTGATACAATCATATATTTTATACATTCTAATACCACTTTTTTCGATAATGCAAATAAGCTGCATCTCTCTACTCCTTAGTCTCAAACTTGATAATGACTTTATTAGTGTATGGTAGTCCATTCTTGAGATATGATTTGATCTTCTAAGTTTTAAACATGATGTCTTTCAATTGTTGTTTGAATAGATTATCCAGTGTCTCCAAGTTAAAAGACTTGTAAGTCTTGATCTGCTTATCCGAATAAGTTGTGATCATCCCTGTCTCCTTTAGTTCTCTCATCTACTCCAATGTAATCATAAAATCAAGCAAGGAATTCTCTCTATCTATATTCATCTCATTGATTTCATGGATATCATAGATATAGACTAATTCTTAAATTGAATTTTTGTGCTCGAATAACACTGACTTTTTAGCCACTTAATCAAAATTATTCATTGCAATTGCCTTACAGATAGTCTAAGATATCTCCTCGGCTGTCATCTTGTATGGTAAATGTCTAACGTAAACTGACTTTTTATTTTCTGTTACATGATTTATGGGTTCCTTGTCCCAATATTTGATTTGTTTGTATCGAATGATTATCTCGTATTCCAAAGGGAGTAAGATGTTCATCAAGAAGATGATGAAGGCTGCTATTTGGATGTACACTTATTTGAATCCATTTCCGCCCTTCTTAATGTCCTCTTCTGCTGAACATTCAATTTAAGATAGAAATGGATCTATTGCTACAAACATGTAAATGGTGTTCAAATCACATGCATCCTTGTACTCTTGAGCCAAGTGAGGATCGGTTAAGCAAAGGTTGTTTTGTAAATCACTGCAAGTCCAATTAACTTCGGTTATAAAGAAAATCCCATACACACAAAATATGATGACAAAGAGAATCATCTAAAATTTGAGGAATGTAAAATAAAGAGGAGCAGCAATGCCATAATCCTAAACCAGCAATTGCCACATGTTCACTGTGAGGAAGTTTATGCGTTTTCGATTCAATTATTTGCTTGATGAATTATTATACAATAATGATACTTGCAACACGGACATTCTGTGGCTGTCGTTTTATCCAGAAAATCCTGATCTGGCTATATGTAATGGCATTGTCTATGCAATTCAGCCAAATCGTAACTACAAGGATATGTGTAATAGTTATTCTCAGGCATTTTTATATTTTTGGCCCATTCCAATGGATCGATTGAAGACAGCCTTTCCCTAAATTTTGTCGACGAAAATCGATGCTATTAAGGAACATGGCCCTATCTTTCTAGATTGAAATCCAAAGTTGCTGGCTGATTTGTATACACCTATTAGTCATCCTCGAAATCTTCAATCAGATTCTCATTATCAGAATTATTCATTATAATTATAATATTAATTTAATAATGGTAAAACATTAAAACAAAACAAATAGGAAATCTAAAAAAGCTCTCCAACTCAAAAAACTCTCCGAATAAGTGCCTGAATAGAAATATTAAAAATATTAATAAGAAGAACTACTGCTATTTGAAAATGATAATTAAAATGAAAGTGACTAATCTGTCAAACAAGAGCAATCAAACCAAAAGTAAGAAGAAGACGCAAACATCAATCAGCCTTAGGTCTAAGAGGAAGATTCTGCGCAATGGGTTGATGAGTTCGATGAAAAAATATAAGTGGATTTGAGCAAATAGACAAAATTGAGAAAACTGATCAAAAATGGATAAAACCTAGTTACAGGCAAAGAATACTAAAGAAAATTAAGGGAATTTTATAAAACTTCATAGTAAAACAATGAATTCTTGAGTTGGGCCTAATCCAAGTAGCAAATTAAATAGGAAAAAGATAAGTTTGATTAAAATCAATCGAATGCCAATTTAAAAGAATTATTATCATAGAATATATAAAATTAAACAACCAAAAGCAGTTTGCTTCCAAATAGAATTCTTTAGATTGAATAAGCTGGAATCATTAAAGCCAAAATAAACACTGTTATTTAGTCAATTAGTTTTCATAAGAAATTACCAATATTTGCAGAAGGAGGCTTTGATAAAATGGTCAGAATTTACCAATTCAATCCAAACAAATAGATACAAGTAAATTAGCATTTCTACATATTTAGCTTATCAAATCCATAGCATTAGAGAAGTTTCCAATTTGCAAATTATAATTCATGAATGAAAACAATAACATCATAGTAGCATCACCCTTCAAAACATATCTGATTGAAGTGGATATCAACACTCAAAAGTATAAGAGAATACAATCAACTTTATTTGCTAAACATTTTAATTAATCTGGGAAGTATAACAGACAAATCGAATTTGCAATTAGTGAGGATGACAAATATATTGCATTATTTAATGAATCTGGTTACATCCATATCTTAAGCGGGGATAGCAAAATTCTGTTGAATGAATTCAAATAGAATGAAGCATGCAAGGCAGTAACATTTGCTGATGAGTTTCTGATATCAGCAGGACAAGGTGGTAAGATTTATTAATGGTCATTGTAAAAATAACAGATTCATAATGTTTTTCATAATCCAGGAGGATTTGAAGTGAATTGCTTGGATTTTAAGCTGGATCTTTTAGCAGTTGGCAGCAGGACTGGTATTGTTAATATCTTTAAATTAAACTCTGCTACAAAGTAATTTAGTAAGGACCCAATTAAGGAAATATAGAATTTAACCACAAGTGTAAGTGAAGTTTAATTTAATAAATTTTGTGAAATCTTATGCATCAGTTCAAAATGGAAGGATTCAGCAATTAAATTGGTACATGTTGACACTTTTACAGTATTTGAAAACTGGCCAACTGTGACTACATGTTTGAAAGTAACGGTATTTATTAACAATAGAAAATCTCTGCAATTGGAATAAGCAATGATTCCAGATTCTTAGTGATAGGAAATGAAGATGGAGAATTGAGAGCTTTTCGTTTGCTACATTATTGATATTATTGTATATTAAGAACCATTAATTGAATAAATGATAAATGATAAGTTAAATGTTTAATTTAAAGATAATATGTTTGGTATAATTACTATATACTAATCATGCTCTTTGATCTGTTGTTAAGAATTTAGCATACAATAAAGTATCCTTTTAGATATCCATAGTGACCATAGCATATATAATGCCAATCAAGACTACGACAAAGAACACTCCGAACCAAACATATATTTGATATGTGGTTGCATCCATAACATATCCAGAAGAGTTAGTTTACTATTAAAGGCATAATATGTAATAATACAGTAACTTAGTTTAACATTCTTGTTCTTGTTTCCAATAGAATTCTTTAAATTTTGGCTGATTCTTTGGTTGTTGTAATTTGAGGATTCTTTTCTTACTCGACCAAAATGAGACCGAATAATTCTTCATTTTCAAAGGTATTTCTAAAGTTTTTGGAAAGCTTAACATATAATCATATGATACTTTCTTGTGAGTGATTCTCATCATGTCATAGATCATATCAATTTCTGGTTCCTTCATGATTTTTTCTAATTTGGAAATAGACTTATTGATGATTGACAACATGTTGGGTTAATTAGCTAGATATATGCTTTCGGATAGAAATACATTTTTTAAAAAGTGTAGATAATTTGTTCATAGCACAAACATCCTTTAAGAATCCAATAATGTAATCTTCGTTGTCTTTAGTGATTTCAATCATTTCATTTGTGTTGTATTTATATATTTTATTTTCTTTAGATGAATAATCGAATGTTGTTCCGAAGAAGGTATTTACACACTTCTCCAAACTGGAATCGACTTTGTAAGATTTATCTTTGTTTGGTTCATAAAAATAAACTTCATTCTATAAATTAAATTCCTATTTTTACATTTTTGCCTAAGTACAGTGTAATTGTCCATTATAAATAATTGATATCCAAGTCATCCTCATTCTAGTAGATTTTGAATCCCAAATTATTATTATTGTAAAACTTGTATGCCCTCTAAATTAAGGTGTCATCTAAATTTTACAATGTTGAATTACTTTCTTGTCCAAAGAGGAAATCCATAATGGGTTTTGGATCTTTATCCAATACTTTAAAACTTTAAGAGAATCCTTCTGTTATTCTCTATTATTTCAACTCTTATCCTTGATATAATTTCTCACTCTCAATCAGAATCAAATAGTTCATATTTGCAGGTGATAAGATATTGCCTTTGCCAAAAGATCTATTTGATGAAGATATATGTACTTTATCAATTGTTCAAACACTTTTTGTTAGTCTGCTGAAATGTGTTCGACTAATCCGATATTGTATTTTATCAATTAAGCTATTTGCTTTTGATTTAGGCCTTCTAAATCGCTTACACTATTGTCATTGAATGGGTACAAGTATGCATGTGATGCCAATGCAGATGCAACTATCAACAATCACAATATAGATACCACAAATGATGAAAAGAAGAGTTTTCATTATTTTATTTAATAAAATTTATGAATGATTGATAATATTATTGTTTATATGCATTTTTTGAATTCTTTATTTATATATATATAAATTTTATCTGTTAACTCCTATGAGTTACGATATATCCCAATAGTTCATCGAATTTCGTAAGCAAATTATGAACAAAACCTTGACCACTCCAGCAACAAACACCAGCAAAATACAAACCATTTCAACCCCATCGAAGAAATAAGAATTTTCAGTTGACATACTCAAATAATCAATCTGCAAAAACGTTAAACGTCTGAAGGTCAAATCCGCTATTTCAAGTACGCACATCAATTATTAATCCCCAGACATCCCCTTGAGTCCCCAGAAACAAAAAGCTACATCTCCAATTAAAAAATAACCTTACAAAAGTCCTTAAAGATTGATGCAAAATGAACCACTCAGAAGTCCAAATAAACAAATTTACAGCAGCACATCCAAAAGCTAATAGTCTCAACTGAACATTTTTCAATTACCCCAAACGTATCGATAATCAGATTATATTGATCAACAAAGCCAAATCAAATTGTACTCCTCAAAATACCAGAAGATAATGAATGAAGAACAAGGACTCTATTATAGCCAATTGTAAACTAAATTAGATCAACTTTCCTCTATTATCGGCAATTAAGATGATAGACAAAGAAACCTACTTGAGATTGACAATATGATTAATCAATCAAAACAGATCAATGCTAAATCGAGAGTCTAAAAACACCTTGATAGTTTGCAATTTGAAAGCAAAGCATTATAAAGTGATCTAAACACTATTAAGACTAAAATATCGAGATTTTCTGATTTTACTGATAATTGATATACATATTATATTAGAGATCTATGCATAATTTAACTAATTGCAGTTTTCATAGCTCCTAATCCTTAATCTTTCTAATTTGCTATCCAACTTTACTAATATAATTGATCTTTATAATATTGGATTGCCATTTAAGGATGTACTGCACAGCTGGTTTATGAATCTTATAGCCATATTGAAGCCGACATTTTTCTTCCTAAAAAAAAATTATGGGAAAATAATATTCACCACTTTGAGAAAAATTTATTTAAATATTATTATCTATCTTATACAATATTGTTATTTATATTAGACTATATAATTAAAAATAACTACCTTTAAATTTAAACAGATTAAATTGTTTATTCTTAAGTTTTTCTTAAAATAAATTCTTTGTTATTAGAATGATAACTATTGCAAAATAATTTCATAAAAGCATCAGAAATTCGAAAATAAATTATAATTCCTTTTTGTAAAATAAGAACTCTTACAATTAATTATCAATTTATTTGAACATTAATGTTTTCCTTCTTGATAGAGTGATAACCATTTTCAACATTTTTCAAATTGAATTTTTTAGTATATTTCAAAAATGACATTACATTTGAAATCAAATTTTCCTAAAATTCTTGAATTTCTTTTGAATGTAAACTGAACATAATTACATTTCTTGATTGAATCAATTCAGATTGCTTTAGGGTAGGATAGGTGTTAAAAAAGAAAATGAATTGAATAATACTAGAATAAAAGTTAAGAATATTGGATTAACAATAATAATATTTGTGGATTATTTTCTTATTATTATTTTTAATTTAAATAATGTCGGAAAATAATATTAATTCAAATCATAATAATATTACACATCAACATCATCAGAATTAAAGAAGGTCACCTTCACCTTATAATCCAAGGAGATTCGATAAATTAGCTAGGGAAGAATGCTGGAATAATGTATCAGCTCTGTTATATTGTTTAAAAGGCTTAAATTATGGAAGGAAGAAATCCAGATAGATGGAGATTAGATGCCGTTGGTAATCCAGTTTGCAAAGCCCTAAATGCTTGCAGAGGACCCTTATGTTATCAATTTGATCATATAGTACCATATTCTAAAGGGGGAGAAAGTATAAGCAAAAATTGTTAATTATTGTAATCATTTGTCAACATATACAAATCAAATAAAGAAAATATATCAAAGGATGAGTTGAAACAAGTATCTCCTTAATTAAATTTCACTTCTGAAGTATTTGATGCTATAGAGTATGCTATTTATGGTTGACATCAGAAGGAAGCCTGCTTGATTGTATTGCTTTTGTTTTACATTTTTATTTAACTGTTTTGTTTGTAAAAATAATTGTCTATTTCTATAAATGCCTTGTTGTTTTAAAATTACAGTAAAATTTATTCATTTTCTTGTCTTACTACTATTGTTTTCCCATCCCGATTTTCTTTTTGTCTCATATCGATTCTATCGATGTTTTCTATCATGATATTTTCTGTTATATAATTAATTATATATTTTAACTTAGAACTGTCACTTGAACTATGTCTTCTCTTTCTGGATTGTGATCTTGATCTTCTGCCTTTGTTTCTGCTTCCATTCTCATCTACATTAGTTTTACTATCTCAATACATTTATTATTATAATTATGATGATAATGACTGTGATAGGAATTTTGGTTCCTTTCAATAGATTTATCTTATTTTTCATGAGCTTTCCCACTATTAAATTCAACAGTAGTTAAGTTAATCTCTTGATAATTTTTTTCTTGGAATAGTAGAAATATCATATACTTCCACTCTGTAGTTTTTCTTATTTTTCTCTTTCTTTCTCTCTATCTAATTTTTCATTTTTTTCTTTTTCAATTTTCTCTTATCTTTCCCTCTCTTGTTTTTCTTATCTTTCCAATTTTTCTAATCTTTCTTACTTTTCTATCTTTTCCTAAACTTCCTTATCTATTTCCTATTGGAGAATAAGTTTCATATAATTTTCAGTGTCGTAATTGTTTGAGAGATGGTTAATAAATTCTGAGGTATTAGAGATTTAAAGAACTTTCTTGCCTTCTTCATTCACTAAGATGATTTCTGGCTAAGATATTTTTCGTTCAAAAAAGTACCTAAGAATATGCATATTTTTACTTATTAAAAATGTCGACCAAACTTTAGGATTATTTTAAGTCATCGCAATAGATCACTCCATATTTACATCCTTCAACTAAGGTGCATTTATTATTTGTACATTCAAATAGCTCTTCCACTCTTAAGGATCGAAGGTCAATAAAGGTTTTCTCATTCCTTCTCTCATATATTATGCTTTCAATTTTGTCTTTATAAAATTAAATGGGCAGAAATCTGAGAATAATCTTATACTGGATTTTGACATCTCGGATTTTCTTCAACATTCCAACCTTTGGAAGATAGAGGGCAATTTATTACTTGAAAATTCTCACCAAGATACTTCTTGTGTTTTGGTTAATTTTTATTCATATTATAATAAAAAAATTAGGCTGATTTAACTTCATTTATTCTTATAACATATGCCTATTCTCCTGCCAAATATACTTTTTAGACCTCTTCAAAATTAATAAAATGATAATCTTTGAATCTATAAATTAATTTTAATAATATAAATAAATTTTACTTTTCCTTTAAATACTTTTTAATAGAATGCTTATCTTGACATGCTTCAAGTGAAGAATCATAATAAAAGAGAATTATATCTTTTTAGTTTTGCCACTCCAAAGGGATTCTAAGATTTATTTAAAATTTAAAACTTCTCGTATTTTCCTGTTTTTGTGGGTTCTAAAATTCGAATTTCATAGCAATTGGAATTAAGAACAGAATTACAAATATCACGAATTGATAATTTTGTACCTATGAATTCTATTTTAGCTTAATATTGATCATCATCACAAGGACTAGAATCACCAGACGAAAACTCGCACATGGCCTTGGATGGCGATGGTGGTTAACTTGGAGACCAGACTACGCGAAACTCCTTCTCATGTGTATTTAGATGTTACAAATCGTAGGTTGAGAGTTTTTACCTATAATAAACAATCGCCTGACGTGTTATAGTATAAAGTATATAATCAATATTTTCAAAATATCTGTGTAAATTCAAACCTGCTGATTCTTTTCCATTGAGGATAATTTAGTCTCTTAATTAAATGCTTGCTCAATTCCAAATTTGTGACACCCTTTTCCGCTATCTCAATCATTTTAATTATATTTAAATTTAATATATGCTTTTAGATATTCAAAATTCTTTCTAATATTTCCTTTATAAAAATTAATAAAAATAGATCATTTTATTTTATATTCTTATCCTTGCTTTCCATAAACTCATCTCCAAACTAAGTAGACTTGTTTTCTGATATGTATCTAAAATAAAAACTACATTTAGTTGAACAGTTATCTTTATTATAGTTCCAATTCTACTCAAAAATTCTAATTCCCTTCCTTAATGGAACTCCTCTTGATTTATGATTAACCATTTGAAAAATACAAATTTGTAATAAAGAGTTCTCAAATAGTTGTTAACACATCGACTGTAGGTTGTTTCTCATACATCCTTATACTCTATATATAATCTTCATATTTATTGACAAATACCTATAACTTATTATCCTCAAATATATTGGGTAGTGTGAAAATTAACATTTATTGAATACCATTTAGTGTGTTGATTCATACTTTTAGGCTAACAATTATTAAGTCTCCTATATTTATTTTCTTTTAAATGTATTATCTTTTATAACCAGAGGATCATAATGAAAATACTTAGTTTGGTTTCTTATATATATAAGGACATTAAAATAGTGATTCTTATTATTAAAATACTACTGCATTAAGATATCCTGAATATTACACAAATAAATTATATTTATTAAGAATCGAATTAAAAGTGAGTTAAAGGATATTCAACTAAAATGATTAATAAAATGTCCAATTTTCGACCCTACAAATACACACAAGAAGAACTCACAATAAGTAAGAAAATAAAGATAGAGGATCAATAAATTACTCTCCCTTTGACTGTGTTTTAATAATTGGTTGAGAAGGCAAAAGAAGAGAATCAAAAAAAAGAAGATACAAAAAATCTCTTAAGAAATTTTGGAAATGCTCTAAATAGATTCATTTTGCATAACGAATAGGCCTTAAAAATCATTACACAATATATTCCTGAAAGTAATGTCTCTCATTTCAAGAAATGGGTTACAAATTAAAAATTAGAGAATTTTGAACAATTTAAAAGAATCTGGACTGTGGATGGAGACGTTTACAAAAAAATATTCTCAGAATTATCTTTCGAGTTTTATTCAAAACATGCATATTCCTATGTGATGCATTCATAAATGAGATCAGAATCAACAAAATTAACTCATTTGAAATACATTACTCGCTTTTTAGAAGGGATTGTCTGCCCAGAAAGCTTCTATTATTTTAAAAAGTGAAAATCAATAATATTAATATGTTTTCATTGCCATTTTATTTTTATTTATTTAAAATAACTCCTAATTCAAAGAATCATAAAAATGGATGATCATGAGAGGCACATTTTAATAAAGATTATTCTAAAATGATTGATTTTTAATGAAAATAAAATAATAATATTATTGTTTCATTTAGGTATTAAATGACTTTCAATTATTCCCTTATCTATTCCACTCATAATTTTATTCATATAATTAATTTACAATCTCTTGATTTCTGTCACTCCAGAATAATATTGTAAAGCCTCACAAGGCAATGCATATTAAACATTTCCAATTCCTTAATTGTTCTGTAAGTGATTTTAAATGTTTCGACATTAATTTAAAATCTTTAATAATTAAATATTGCTTCGAATCTCACTCAATTCTTACAATAATATTTGTTTTTTCAAATTTTTTGTCTTCGAATCATTGTCTTCAATTTTGTTCTATTCCAATTAAATTGGCTTTTTGCATTTAGGACAAAATTGATTAGAATTTCCAGCTATCCAAGTTTTCAAACAACTCTTATGATATATATGACCACAAGATAAACTTTTACCATTTTCCAATTCATTCAAACATATTAAACAGGTGGAATCATGTGAATCTATTTTTTCAACATCTTATATCCTTTCAATCATTCTGATTAATTTAACTTGATTATAAAAGACTTTTATTTTATTAAGCATTGCATATGCATTTTCAACGCCATCGACAAATAAAATCAAAAGAAATCCTTGAGTGTTCAACACGTACTAAAAAAGCAGATATTAAACACCCAATTTTAAAAGTGTTTTTAAGACATCAAGTCCACAGAAGATAATTGCCTTAGTGTCGAATTATGAAAGAGTAAGAATCTCAAATAGATTGACCACATGTTTTATAAATGGTAAAGCAATTCGAATTGGCAAAAGCATGAATTCAAAACCTAATAGCATGTTCTAAAATTTCTCTTCTGTTCCATAAAAAAAATACAGACTTATCTAACTAGACTATTTCAAATTGTTACTTTGATATCAATAGAAAACAGCAAGATGAATGTTAATAATAGTTTGACATTGTCTCTAAAATTAATTTACGATTCCGCAATCAGGAACCCAGCTCTTTTTATTGCAATCCAATGAATTACTGATAATGCCATTAACCAAAGGATCAAAACTAAATTATTTATACATATTTTACATATGAACTACCAATCCAATGAATAATAAAAAAAGAATAATAAGTATGCTACTTCTAAAATTTTCTTCTTTGTTTTATCTATCACAGACTATTCAATAGTTAATACAAATTTATACGATCTTTTCTATTTCCTTTAATTCTCCAAACATAACTCTTATAAAAGTCATTATCAACGTGGAAACAATCATTATAATAAAATTCACAAGTATAGATCTATTTATCTTATTAGTGCTTAGATATAAAACCGATGGGTAAAATTGCTTATGTACACTAAAAGAATTGTAAATAGCTCCTAATGCAATGACTATGCTGAAAAAACAATAAAACTTTAACATTTTTAATATTTTATATAATTCATCAATCATATTTAATATTGCGCATAGAATATTCTAATATTTCTTTCAAAATTGTCATCCAATAACAAAGTTGAAGATGGCAATAATAACATATACCTTTTCACCAAATTATATTCCTCTGTGTAATACTTATGAAGTACAAAGTACTGAATGAAAAACACTACAAATTGAAAGACCAATAGAAAAACACTCAACGCTATAATTTAATCCATTTGGGAAAATGTTGCTTACAGCAAAGCCTCCTTTAAAGAAGCAACCAACTCAATCATGCCCTTTACCATAATGTACATGCCTTCAGCCTCATATCTAAAGTATTAAGCGATAGAAGTAAAATTATTCAAAGCAAATGTTACTTTGTATTGATTTGCTGCATACATCATAGCTTAACTAAGACCCATGTCTAATGCTCCGTCAAAAGATCTTGAACAGTAGAAAGCATAATCATTATATTAATCCCCAGTAAAGAACTTACACACCGGACTTTTAACAAGCAAATTCAATTTATCTATAAAACTTTGAGTTGTTAGGTAGTCCTCCTAATTGAATTATTGTACATATTCATCAAATAATTTTAGATTATCAATACTCTTAAATAATCGAGCTATCATTCTTGGTTTATCTTTTAAATCTAAATTATAGACTGACCACTTATATAAGAATTGTCTTTATGAAAACATGCCTGGTAATTAAAAGCATAGATCTCCTGTAAATTTGTAAAAGTCAGCAGTGTTAACATATTTAGATAGATAACTATTTGTTTATAATTAAATTAATAAAGCTGGTATAAAGAATACAGAAAAAACAAATGAAATACCAATAAGTCCAGAAATTTTTGAAAGCTTATCATAATTTTGATAACTCTTTTTCTTCTTTACATCATGTATTGTTTTAGATTCTTTTTAGTATCTTTCAGCCATCATAAACTTTTCCTTTTGTTCCAAATCAAATTGATACTTAAATATGACATCTGAATTCTTTGTCAATATACTTATCAAGATTTTGTATCTTTCCATATCTCGATTTAGCCAAATTTCATCGATAAATTTAAAGAGGTTTAAAAAGTTTTCATAAATTAGCAAATACTGTGTATAGTAGTAATAAGTAGCCAACATGAATACAAAATCCAACACTAGAAATGGAATCCAAATAGATTGCCAATTCTCTTAAACTATATGTTTTCTTTATTTAGTATAATCTAATATATCATTAGTCATGTTATCAAATTTATCATGCAAATTCAAATAATTAAAAAAGGGATAGGCAGAGAATGGATAATTGTTTATACCAGACTTTTTTTGATATGCTATTTTAAATTGATATTAATATTACAAAAGAACATTTAAAGACTCTCTAAAAGAAAGTGTCTTAACCTCCATTGAAGTTGAGTTCTCCTTCATGAATTAAACCTCAAAGTTTTGATCAGTAAAAAATTCTAATAATTAAGGGTTAGAGAATTATTGTAAAAAGTTCCTCTTCATATCATCATATCCTTCTCCCAAATGATTTGATAGCCAGGCAGCTAACACAGTATTCTCAGCTGCAGTCATGAAAGCTGGAACCTACCCTGAATAATAAACAGTGGAGAATCTTAAAGCTTAAAATATATCAAAAGGAGTCATAAAGCTATAGCTAAATAAAAGCATATCTACTTCTTATATGAACCTATTATAATCTGTGTTCAAATTCTATAATATGATTACACTATATATTGCTATTAAAATCAATTAAATTAAAAAAAAAATGTTGCATAATTTATAGGAGATGGGTCTAAAAGTACTATCGATTATCCCATTCATTAATTCATATTTTTTGTAGAATAAAGACTTCTTTAAACCAATTAATGATGAAACCTAAGAGGCGGCATCATCAACTTGCTAATTTGGTTAATTTTTCTATTCTACCTCTAGTTGTAATTGCATTTTAATATTTTCTCTCATCTCTTTATCAATTTTATTTAAGTCTACATCATACAATTAATTAACATCCTTCATCTAATTTTGAAAAGCTTCACTTATTTTGCTATTAGATTAATCCAAATCTTGGATCTCTTAATTAAAAAACCTCTACTACCCAAAAGATTTGCTTGTATCTATTAGTTTGCGAATACTTTGATTTGGAGTGACATCAACAGCATTGTTATGCTCAATATTTTTATGATTATCAAATGATTAGTCATTTAATGATTGATTCAATTTAATCAAATTCTCAGGAAAGGGTTACTTATTAGCTACAAGATGCTAAGCCAATCCTACTTGCATCTATTGACTCTGAAGTAAATTATTCTCTATTTCTTATTAAAATTCAGATAAGGATTATTAACATATATCTAAGAACTATGGCTTGTTAATTTCGGCTTCAGGGTATGATACTTCAAGTTCACTAACTTCTATTTCATTTGTATGATCTTAATCAAATCTTTATGTTGTCATTCCTTTTCCATCCGTATTTGACATGTGTGATATTGTCTAATTTAATCTTAAATCCTCTATTTCAATAATGTAATAATAGTAGCCATACAATTCTCTACTTGATATAATAATGGTTCCTTTATAGAATGTTAAATTTTAAAAGTGTTTCCATACATCATGAAAGGATTAAATAGAACGAGATTCCTTTCCGATCAATAATCTTTTATTCAATAAATTAATTTGCACATTATAAAATTTATTATCTTTTTAATGCATTTTCATTTCGTTAAAATCTGGTATTATTGAATTGATATTTATCTGATAAGAGGTATTAATTAGTTTTGAGTTTTATTTAATTTCTGAAGCCTTCCAACCTGATCTTTCCAATAGATTAGCAGTCATACCTCCGCATATTCCATTCACATCAACCAAGATATAACTATTTCCAATAGAAACTTCTTCAAAAAATGCAGCAAACGACAAATTCTCTGTTTAATTCAAAACAATATCAAGAATCAAATTGAACGGCTTTAAAAATCCATTCTGCAATTCTAGAAAACTTATGTCTATATTTCTAAAGTATTTGTTTCTACCATCATTCATAAATCTCTAAACTAACATATAATGTTCATTTCTTATAGCAGAAGGTAAAATTGAATCAATAGTTTTATTTTATTTTATGAAATCTTCATAACTTTATGATAAAAATTGATGAGTATTATTGCTAAATTAGGAAATAACCAAAGTTGATAAGTTATCTGATAAATACATAATCATATGGACTACATTTTTCCCGAACAAATTAATTTTCAAATTCTTTTTCATATTAATAAGCTTATCATCAGCGATTGTGCTAAAATTTGATAATTTGAATGCTGATAAATAATTATTCATAATTTCAGACTGGAAGAAACAATTAATAGATTAAATCTTTTGACTTGGAAATTATGAATATTAGAATAAGAGTTCCGTTTCCAATTAATAGAATAAATTCGATAGTATTTTCGCATGATAAAATAATTATCGAGATCTCAATCCCTTTTTATTGAGAATCATATTAGAAAACTATAATTTTTATTGTAAACACTTCAAGATCTTGTGTTTAACAATCTAATTTTATTATTCACTTTATAGATATAACTCTACAGCATCTGCAATTTCTTCTTATTACTTTGTTTATTGTTTAAGGAAAGTATTCTACAATTCTAATTTGATATCTTTGCTGATTATTTTAAGTTTTATTTAAGAAAGCAAATCTAAAAGGTTGTTACGAACATTTATTTTAATTTTTTATTATTTTTCAATCGATTTAGCATTTATTTCCTACAGTTTTGCTTAATTCACTTTATTTCGTGGTTCAGATGATTGAGAAGGAGTGCTTTATTGATGACTTTAAGAAAGGGAGTTTGCATCGCTGTGACTTAAAAATCCTCTATTTTAATGTGCTGATAATGACAATAAACGATTGCATTCTTAAAAGGCTAGAGTAGTGAATCCAAAATAATTTAAGGCACTAATATAAAATACACAAGAATTGTGAGAAGAAATATCCTTCTTTTAATTCAATTCTTTGTTCCAATGCTTAATTTTTTGAATTATAAAATTCCTCTATAACTTTGATGATAAAAAGAGAACTTTAGATGGATTATCCGTGAGGCTTTTATTTGTATTACAATGACACATTGGATCATTGCATTTTTACCTATGTTAATACAACAAAATTGCTTGAGACACCTAATCTATTCTTTCCAAACCTTTTTGTTTATTATTAATTTAATATGAGATATAATGAATTATTTTTTGAACATTTTTTTCTAATATTATACTTTCATATAAATTCAAAATAACTTGTTAACGATATGAGAAACTAACAAAAATACATAATGGTATCAAAATTAACCCTAATTGCCAATAATGTAAAAGAGATGTTGTAATTATTACAATTAAACTGATATGGACAATTAAAATAATTTGAGTAAATCTTTCAATAACAATCGATTTATCAATAATTACGTTCAAAATGTAAGTTAAACTCACAAGTACAATTACAATCCCTTGAGCTAATTGTGCTTTCTCAAAATTAGTTAAGATACCATAAATTATTAATTAAATCAAAATTAACATTTCTCGAATAAAGTCAAATTTTGTAAAGTATAACCTTTCATATCCTTTTATTGTTAAATTTAAACAAGTATTACTAACATAAAGTTTAATCATTTGATTAATGACTTGAATTATTACAGTAATTATACTAAAAATTGAGATACCAATATTCGCTATGCCTTCAGAAATTCCAAATGATGTAAATGACAACACTTGAGCTGGAATATAAAAGTAAATTATATATAACTGAGAATATATTGATTTAATATTTATGATCATATTTTAAAATGACCCAAAAAATTCAATTTAATTACTTTGAGTGTCGCTTTATTTTCTATTCATAACCTGATAAATAACTTGTCCCTGTAATACTAAAATTTCAAAAAATATCCAGCATATTAATGGAAGTAGGTATAATAATTTATTATCGATGCCAATCATCTAATTGTCAATCAAAATTAAATCTGGTCTTATGAGGTATATGAATATAAATCTATTATAAATCTTGAAAGAGACATTATAGCAGGGACATAAATAGAAAAAAGCACTTTGCATTTGTCCTAAAAAGAAAAAAACATATTTCAGTGTCTAATACATAATATACTACTTTTGATGGATAACTATTAGCATTCTTAAGTTGGTTAACAGGTATTTTCTTATGAAGTTTTACTCTTTTTATTTTTTCATTTATTATCTATTATATAAATTTGAATTCAATATTTTGAACCCAAAATTTATACATTTCTAATTGATTTAATGAAACTAAAATATGATAAAATCTTATTTAGAGTTATTATGTCCTTTTTAAAAAGTATCCATTTTTTGAAAATATAATAAATTGTCCTCAACCCTTAATCTCAAATTACAATATAATCATACAGTTTCGATTAATTTACAATTACAATTAAGTTCTAAACTTCTCAATTTAGACCTATTATTACTTTCCATTTTTACCTTGCGATAATTTACCTTGTTTGACAATTTTTGCTTGATATCAAAATAATAAGATAATAGTTATTGACATATGTAAATAATGATAGATTTGCAATTTGTTTTAATTTTATGAAAAACTAGTGCTGATATATTATTTGATATTTATATGAAATACACAGAAATAAAAATTATTAATAATTTTAAGCAAAACCATGTCAGAAAATATCTAAAATAGAGTTTCATCAATTTTTGAAAAGCTTAATAACATTTCAACAAGTGTTTAGGACGAGTACATAAGTTTTTTATATTTAATAGGAAAAATAATCGATTCCATGCTATCAGCCAATTAATAATGGCATTTGAAGCTCAATTATAACATTAATCTGACTAAAAGGAAGAGAAGTTTGCTTATATTGCCCAGAAAGTTAGACAATTGACAGAATTTTTGGAATAAGAATAAGAAGAGTATGAATGTTTAATATTTATTTTAGTCGTGAAAGATAAGAGAGTGAAACCTTTAAATTGATAACAGATCTTGAAAGACATGCCAGAAGATTGATTGAACAGAATTCCAAGGACAGAGTTGAACAAGAAAAAAAGATAGTTTATACTATAGGATAATAAATAGAAAGCTTATAATAGGAGGTTGTAAAAGAAGGATTGGTAAATTATTTAATTAATAAATTAGGCTCAATCTACATCTCATGAATACATTGATTCTTATTTGAATGAAGATCTCCCAAAAATAGCTGATGAGTTATAAAATGAGATAACAGAAAGAAAAGATGTTGAAGAAAAAATATATCATTAATTCGTGGAATAATTAAATGATTTAAGAGAATTATTTGAAAGGTACAAATTACAATAGATCTATTTCTAGAGAAAAGAAAGAAAGAGAAGCCAAAGAGGAGGAAATTGTGGAAAGTTTGAGAGAAATCTCTGGAAGAATCCAAGAATAACTCAAAAAAACTAGAAATGAAAGAGAGAAAACAGAAGAAACTTTAGTCTAACTTGTCGAAAAAGTGATTGAAAAACTTAAGAGGGAAATGTTAGAAATGAACTTATGATATTGTCATCAAATATTATTATTTAATTTGTGAATTTGATTTATCCTATAGAGCTATGTTTTTTAAGATACGAAATTCATTAAATAAACAAAACATAGGATCTCATCAAAAATTCAGAATTTCGATCTCATCCTTTGGTTTCGAAACATAAACACAAGCGTATAAATCTTTTGCAGCTATTTTCATTTCTATTAGGCATTAAGAATCATTAAGTTTTTCAAATATTATTAAGCTATTCAGCGGATCATAGCTAATTTTAATAATTTAATTTTGATTAAAGCAAAATCCATTTTTTTTGAAATTAAATTTCCAATCTTTTGAGTTATAAGTATCTATCAATAATTAATAGTATTACATCCTCCACTTGATATTAGATAGCATCCGTGTCCTAAGGAATTCCAATTACTTATTTGATATTATTATTATTTAATGACTTCTAATTCACAAAATCCAATCGCAATGCTCTAACCTATATGCTTATTGATTATAAATGAATTTGTTTACATTTATTTTAAAATAGATTGAGCTCTCTTACTATTGATCTAAGGCTGGTTCAATCGTTGCAAGGGAATTCATAATCACTTTATCTAATCAATGAATTATCATCCATAATACTTTGTTTTATTGTGTATTTATTCAATAATATAACAGAATCATTTTTATATTCTTGGCTAAAAGTAAACATTCTTTATAGTTAATCAATGGGTTTTGTATCTTGAAAAAATTATTGAGTGAGTGTTGCCTACACATCTCCATTGTTAATTCTATAAATTTTTTAAATATAATCTTAAACATTTTAAAATTAATAGATATCAATATCATCAATAACTTTACATAATTACTATTCTTTTTCCTTTAAAGAAATTAATGAATTTTAAATAATTCTAATTTTATTTTAATATTTCTCCTAATATTGCTTGATCTAAGTTAGTCTAATAATTAATTACACTTTTTAATTCATTTACAACCTTATGCCTAATTTTATCTATTCTTACTACTGTATTTTAAATGTTTTAACTTTTAATGCATTCCTCACAAAACAAGTTGCATTTAGAATTTGTATGAAAATTTATATATTCCATTAACTTTCCATGATCTGGACAAGTGAGATTTTATTGCATAATTTAGAAAAAATTTTAATGTTTATTAAAAAATAATTATATTTAAATAAAATTATCTAAATAAGTTAGTCTTGTAATTTTTTTATGCCTCTCATATTCAATTCAGAGCTACAAGATTAAAATTCTTAATTTTATGAATATTTGAGTATATTTGAAATTATTGTCAATCTTAAATAGAATTGATTATCTGTTAAGAAAGAGATCTTTTAAATCAATTTTTAAGGTCTTCTCAATAGAAATCCTAGTAATTTTTTATTAGAATATACTCTAAATATTAACGACTAATTGAATTATAAATATAATATTAAATATTTTGCTTGCAAATGATAAAGTCAGTTATTTCTAATAAAGAAAACTAATTTCATCGTATTCATTAACAAAGAGTGGCAAGAAAAATTGTAAAGAATTGAAATTATTTTCAGATTAACAAAATTGGAAAATCAACATTAAATCAATCGCCAATAAGAAAAAGAGTTGAAAACACTGCTTAATAAACTTTAGAAGCTCTGAGCTCCTATCAAACTTTATGTGATAATTAACATAGAATTGATTTATGTAAGAATGTTTGTATATCAAAGTAAAGCAACCGAAAAGTAAAATCAACTTTACTTAATAAGAGATAGTCGGTTGGGATGATTAAAATTAAAGTTTTGAGAAGCCATAAAAATTAACAACCGATCAGAGTGTGTAGACAAGTACTAGTTAAGAAAAAGCCCGAAAATCAATTTCACAATAAACCTAGAGAATTAAAACGATTCCAAGATTAATAGATATAAGATAAAAAACCTCAAAAACTCCGTTAAGAACTACAAAAATTACTAGTCCATTAATTGAATATCCAACTATGCAAAAGTTTAAATTGTTCTTTGATAAAAATATTTATAAACAAGGGATCCCTTAATTGATTATATGTGATCGATCATTAAATGCCGTTGATGGATTGAATTGTATTAGTTTCAACAATGTTACCTCTAAGCTAATGCCTCAAAGAAGAAATCATAGTTTATGTGTAGGGAATAAAATAAATAAAGTTGACATTATTAAGGACATTACTCAAAACTTATGAATCTTTAAGGTGAATTATATATATATACTTAAACTATTTATTATTTTGTTTTTATTCCTCTTAATTAAGTTAGAAATACAGATGTTTCTAAATTCAGATAAATTAATTAATAATCGTAAATAAAATTTTGATGTCGTAAGCAATTGAAAATACACAAGAATGTTAACTTACCTTAGAACTACTAGAAAATGTATATTAATATTTAAATAAAGGTAATTAACTATTCTAAAAATTAAATCCTTAATAGGACATGAAAGAAATCAATAAACTATTCCAAAAAGTAGAAAATGCAAGTATTTGTTTCAATATGATTTGCCATTATGTGGATTAACTAAATTTTGAGAATGATGAATTATTAAATTCATATTAAAATTTAGAATAACAATTAATTTAAAAAGAAGGCGAAACTAGAAGACATATTTCAATTGAATCACAATTGAAATTATATGCTGAAAGTTTATTGGAGAGTTTTGAAGAGTTTTAAAAATAATTAGACAATTTAAATTCTTAGATGATTGTACATATTTTAATGATAAGTCCATTTCAAAAGAAAACATTTGCCTAAAATAATAAATAAGGTTAAATAAAAATGAGAAAGTACTAACCGATAATAGTTAAGAGAGATTTATCACTCTGATTTCCTAGTAGAACTAGCGAAATGGGATTCCATAAAAAAAAAGATCTTTAGAATCTTAAAAGTAAAAATGTACTATTTCTTTCAGATTTAGGATTTCATAGACTTAATATCAAGATAGATTGTAAATAATTTGCAATATACTAAAAAACTACTCTCTTCAAATTAAGTAAAGATCAAGCACTATTCATGTACAAAATAAAGGATGTGTTTTCTTTAATTAAATTGTAATTTCTATATTCAAATATAAGAATTTTATATAATCATTTCACTTCGCTCTAACAGATTTTCCACCAAAATTAAAAAAATTCTAAAAATACAGAACTAACAATTGAAAATTTTCTTAATTTATAGAGATTTTAAATTTTGAATTAATATTTAATATTAACTCAAAACTCTTAATTAAATAAGATAATTTATCAAATATCATTTTAATCATATAATCAAATCCATTTAACTCTTTTACCATTGATCCATTCTCCTTTCCTTGCTTATCCTGTCGAACTAGTATATTCTCCTATTCCATGCATTTTCCCGTTTAACCACTAACCTGAATAGCATCGAGAATCAGCTAATATGATGATTAGTATATTACGCCACGTTATTGTTCCAAATCCATGTTTTTTATCTTCCAAATAAGATCCTTCATATCGAGTTCCATCCTACCAAATCATTACGCCTTATCCATTCATTTTGCTCTGTTCCCACTAACCAATATATTACTTTTTGCTAGGCCAAGTATATTTACTAGAAACAATATAGTCTTATAAAAGTACCCCTTGCCTGAAAAATAGTTATTTTAAAATTGGCCTTCATATTAAGAACCATCTGGAAATATAAAAAGTCCTTATCCGAATTTTTTACCTTTTTAAAATTAACCTCTGAAAATTGAAGAATCTTTAAAAAATTCCTCTCCATATCCATGCTATTTGTCGAATTCCCAATTTCCTTTATACTTGGTTCCATCAGCATGATAATACTCTCCGTATCCATGAACTAAAATTAAGAAAACTTATTACGTTAATCTTCCAACCATTCACCAAGATAATAATCTCCATCTGTATATATCATTCTTCCTTTGCCATTAGATTTTCCTTTAACGAAATAGCCTTCATAAAGTGCCCCATTCTTCATAATCTATGCTCCTAAAAGTATTCGATATTATTACCTTTTCCTTCCCTTTAGCCTTCAATCCAGGTACCTTGATATAAGGATCCATTTTTTAGTTCATAAACTCCATAAAAGTATCCTTCCCTGTCTTCAAGTTCTAAAGGTGGTAATTCGTTCTATAATTCCTAGAAAGTTTAAACTTTTTTTTTACTCTAACTTTTTCCGAAATAGTTTCAAACAATTTGGATGTCTCCCAAGCTTCAGCCTTATTAGGTCTATGCAATTCCAATTCCTCCGAATCTTCCATTTACTTCGTTTTCGCTTGAGAAAATGCTTTGTCTACTTCTAAAGAATGTGTCGCCTAATTTACATTAACCTATTCTTCTGTAATCATTATTGGTTTCTGAAATAAATTTATTGGAGGAACCTCACTTGCTATGTGAATTTATTCCTGACATGAACATTACCCCATTTATGATTAATTAATTTCTCTAATTATGGAACAATTGAATTAAATATAATCAACAAACTATTTTACGTTGCTTTTCTTTTATATTTATTTTACATTATTTGTATGTCATTAGCCTAATTCATACAATACAACCAAATCACATTTTTGAATGATTTTTGGAATACTCTTCGACCAGACTCACAAGTAAGCTTTCCATTCTCATATCTGCCTAGTTATTTTATGATCGAGGGAAAGAAACTTTCATCTTTAGAGAATAAAATCAAATATTTATAATCTAAAAAAGTGAACTCACCACAGTTGTGCGCATATAGATCCCTTATAATGGAATAATATATAGTATGAATATACAATAGGATAACTCCTTCGTTGCTTATTAAGTATCTGAAAACTAATTAGTAATTTATTATCGAGTATTAATTAGTGGATGTTTTCAACCAGAGCAAACAGACAATTCTAATACCAAGCGCAATAAGAGAAGAATTCATACATTATTCAATTTGAATGGGCGAAAGGGTCATTAGGAATATTTGACATAATGGTTGTAGAAAATCACGGAATACATTTGCTTAAAATTGATGATTAAGTAAGGAAAGTCAAGTTTTTATAATAAAAAATAACTTGCTGTTGGTATGAACCAAAAAATGAGGTTCTGGCAACTTGTTGTAGCAATCATAATGGATTAATATCTACTTACTTCTTTAAGGAAAAGAAAAAGGATTTCAAATACAAAGGACCTGACTTTTATTTAGATGATTTTGAACCAAAAGATAGGACTTCCACCTTTGCTTCGATATTCAAATCAAAAAAAACAGATATCCCCTAATTTATTGTCCCTACCGACAAGAAAAACAAAGATTTATGTCAAGATGAATTGATATCAAATTTAAGTTTTAGAGTCTACTTAATTCACCTATACGGCAAATCCCTCTTAGCTTTTTCCAATTCACAAAGTGGCAAATTTTTGTTTTATTAACTACAACACGAAAAAATTACTGAGTAAAAATACCTGCTTAACTTTCCATCTGATATCACTGTAATTTATTTTTATTAGATATTAGATTAATCTATCAGTAATTGATAATCTTATTATCTTATCAACTTTCAATGAAAAATTCTCCTAGGTGTTTGATGTCAAAAAATAAAGACCAGAATCCGCCCTTGGGGCACCTTAATCAATCTTTGAGTAATAAGAAATTCCAACTATCAAATTTAAGGATGTAGAAAAGTAGAATGTAGTGCAGTAAAATTAATAGATTAAAGATGTTTAATAGAACGAATAAACTAAGAAAAGTTCAAGCAGGAGTTTAGAAGATAACTAGATTGATCGGGATTAAGCATAAAAACAATAATCTTCAAACCAACAATTAGATTCTGAACAAAAAACTGATGAAATCAACGTAGAAGATTAGGAGTTAGTCACACAAAATTTTGATCACTAGGATATTGATGATATTGAATAATAAAAGTAATAGAAATAGATTTAGAAAGTATAAAAAAATGAGGAAACTTAATAATTTAGCAATATGTATTCTGCATTTGATGTTTAAACTTTGATCCAAGAAATTAAATTAGCTGACGAATATTTTTAAACATTTTTAGTTAAAAGGAAATGGTGCGCTCTAACTTAACAGAATGTTTAAATTTAGAGTCGAATTTGTAAATTTTATGTTTATATTTTAGATGAGCAAAGTTGTAATTTCTTAGAAGATGATTTAATAATTAATTACAAAGAAAAATAAATTTACTAATTTACATTGAATTTAAAGTACTTACCAAACACCTTTGAAGATGAACCAGAAGAAGCATTTTGTGGATTATTAAGGAGAAGCAATTGCAAAAATGCTGTTTTTGAATTTTTAATTTAATTGGCATTAAATAATAAACCAATTAAAATCTTTTAGAATATTTTTGAGACCCTTGTGAGAGTCCATTCAGAAACTGTTGGATTCACTTAAAATGAAAGATTATATAGTGGATACACTGTCTTATCGCCATAAGATTTCAAACTTCATTTCTTTTAGGTCTTATCAGAAAATGAAAACATGAATATATAATTCTTAATTGAGATTCTCATTGAATTTATAAGATAATTTTAGGAACCATTAAAGGAATTAATCGAAATCCAAAAGCTATTAATTAAATTATTAATTAAAACTCATAGATTTACTCATTTGCATTTCCTAATTCAATATTAGGTTCTATTAGATAATTTAGAATTTGCAAAATTGTTAATTGATATAAGTAATAAGGAATCTCTCACCTTAAAGGAAAGCAAATCTGAACCATATGAACCAGCTTACTAATTAGGATTAGATATGCTCTTTAGATTGTCAAAATATGAAGAACTATTAGAATGTCTGTTAAAATATGGAAAAGTATTTGCATAAAGTTATTTAAGTTTCATGATGCAGCCTATTTGCTAAATAAGATACCTAATATTAGAATGAGATTACCACCAATTTAAGAAGGCATCAGGAATTCTGATTGTTAAAGAGAAGATTTGCTGTTCTACTTAGAAGATGCTTATAAAAAATAAAAAACTTATTTTAGTGTTGCCGAAGTGAAAACTTTGTGATAAATTTAAATGTTAAATTTATATATATATAGATATCTATAAAGATATTGACATTTAAAGTTATTGCAGATGACAAATCTATTCTTTTTTATCAAATCAATTTCCACACTAAGAAATATGTAATATATTAATGTGATAATGTAATAAAATTAGGCCTTTATTATAATTCAAAATTTGAGATTTAAAGGATAAAAATTTCGAAAATTGATTATTTTGACTGCTATCGCAAATTATGCTTATACAAATTTTATCTAACGTCAGGCATGATTTAAGGAAATATAAAAACAAAGGACATTTACAGGATTGAAATTTAGAGTAGCATCAATTTTTAGTATAAAGTGATTTTTTTGGATTAGCTATGTAAATCCAAGCTGATCACAATGGGTAAATTGTTAAATCGATGTGATTTCTACGAATTATGCTTCAAGAAATTCCATTTTGGAAAATTTCTGATGCAATCCAAAGATGGGTGATATAAGATGAAAAATATTTAATAATAATTTAACAATTAAGGTGTCATTCATCATTAGCGTATGAAGTTTTTAATAGATCTTTAAATTCTCCAAATTCGATTAGGCCTGAATTGTCCTTATCGACATCTCTGATGAGACTTTCTATATCAATTGTTAACTCGAATTCAGATTTAATAATTTATACTAGTTTATCTGTACTTATCTATTGATAAATGAAAATTAATACTGATCCTGTTTTATCTGGGTTTCCTCCCATGGCTACAAAAGCATCAATTGTGTCTTAGTCATCATCTAAAATGATGAAGATAATAACACTTACCATCTTAGTTGGAATATTTAAATTTCCAATACACTCCTAAGAAATCACTAAATCTAATGAGTCCTGTATTTGTTTCTTCCACTTCGCTTATGATTTTGTAGAGTTCATTTTCTGATGGTTTGAAACCGATTTTTTCTAAAGCAATTTTTAAATCCTGACCTCTAATGGCTCCAACACCATCCTAAATAAAATATTGAATTTACTTCATCCATTTCAGCAAATGCTCTTTAACACATATCGATGTCTTCCTCAGTTAAATTCATAATATAATTTTTGATAATTATTGAAAATATATAATTAAATAATTTGCTAAAATTCTAAACCTATTTATATAATTTTATTCAAATTAGGATTCACGTCTAAATCGTAATATTTATGCTCCTCTACATTTTTAGTGTACTCTGGGTTTCACTTCCGAGCAATACTTCCTAAAAAGCTAATTAAGACAATTAAATTATCTTATTCATACAAAACTATTAATTTTTCATAAATTTAGACTTGTTATATGTCTTGAAAATAATGAAAATTTGACATTCAACTAGTAATTTGAAAAAATAACTTTTTTCTTTTTGATCAATATATTGTATTATTTAGTTTTCCAATTTTATTTGATTTGCATCAATTTGTATTTTATTTTTATATAAGAATCTGTCTATTGCTTTAGTTTTACATCTCTGGTGAATTCAATTAACTTTTTAAACTTAAATAATATAACAAGCTTATGTATTATTGTTATTTAATGGTACATTGTAATTTTTTGATAATAATTCTTCTCATAAGGCTCTATTTTACCAAGATCAAAATGGGCTTACCTTTTATTCATCATATTCTAGTTCGTTTAAGTTCATATAAAAATAAATAGAGTTAAAAATGAGGGTTATATTACTGATCATAAATCCTAATTAATTTTACAATACTTATTTTGATAAAATAAGCACCAATTATTACTATTATTACTAACCTTGATCATTCTTTGATAATAAGCTGTCATTCTTTAAAAGTAATATCAATAATTTTTGCTTATATGGCAAATAAAGCTAATCAAATTGTAAGCTTTATGATTTAAACCAACTACTTTTAAGTAAAGTTACAAAGTAATAGTCTTAACCTAATTAAATAAGATTCTCTCATTATACATAATTCTAGTCAGTTAAAATAGCTAACATATTATATATCTTTTTCTAAATTCATGACATTGAGGTAATATTTAATAATATGTTGTATTTTAGATTTCCTTTAGATTATAGATTAACAATCATTAAACTAAGGAAAGCGTATTTTTTACAGATTTTGATGATTATATTCATTCAATTTTTTAATTTATTATGATAAGAAAATAATTTAACCCAAACAGTTGTAATTAAGGTGGCAAATAACAAATTGAAACTTTGCAAGAAAAACATCTAATTGCTCTAATTAATACCAGGCCTCGAGTCGTAATAAAAGCGCCTCATCCGCATGTTGATGCAAACAAACCTTTTTCCATCAGTTTTTATTATTATAATAACAATCCTAGAAGAAAAGCAAGATTTTACAGAAATTAATGAAACATACCGTAGGGTCTAAGCTTTAAAATCAGGCTACTCAGATTCTAAAATGCCAAAGACCTTTAAAATGAAAGAGGCTTTAAAGAGGAAAAATAAAGTGTCCCAGTTTATTCAAGAATAAGTATACGAATATCATAACTTAAGAATCACTTTAATAATATTAGAGCTCTGGAAAATAATATTTAAGAGATCACAACAAGAACCCAAAAAAATATATAAAGAATCAAATCTAACTCACGTATGCATAGTGTGGCCTCATCCATTAAAGAAAACTCTAGAATTAGCAAAAGAGAATGGGAAGAGAAATCAACTCATCCTTTGGAATATGAATGGAAGTATATTTTCTATTGAGTTAATTTGAGCGAAAAAAAGACCAGATTCAGCTTTTAGTAAATCAAAATAAAGTAAAGGGGACACAATTTTATCTAATGTTTTTTCATTTGATCAGAGCCTTTAAAAATACTAAACTGCCTCAAAAAGAAACTAGCAAGATGCTCCTTACGATCATGCTGATATTCCGTTATCTGAAGATATTCAAGATGAAGATTTTTTTATTTACACTGAAACACAAAAACTGCCAAATGATAATCAGATCTAATCACCCCATTCTGCGATTTTGGATAAGAAAACAAAATCAACAACCAATGTTGTTATTCCTTTAGTGAGACCCAATGAAAAGATGAATGATATTAAACGAAAGATTTATCAAACCTTGATGGAATATAAAGTATGTTTTGATATAATTTCTATTATTCTATTAGTTATTTTAAAGAGATTAGGTTTACTAAATTGGACTGGCTTACATCAACAAAAATTAATGGCTTGATGAAAACGAAATTCTATAAGAGTGCAATAGGATATCGAAGTAATTATATGGAGTTGAATGAATTCAAATCTTTGAAATTATTAATTTTAAATAATTTCTTCTTCCTCCTCCTAATTTTCTGAAGCAACTTAGTTTCTTTTATTGGTGCTATTTTGTTTATGACTTTCTGAACCTTTTTGTACTTTCTTATTTTGAATCTATAAGTATAAGATTCAAATTTAATCATGCTTGCCAAATAGTTTGCTATTTATTTTAATAAAAATTATAAAGTAAATCTTTAATTAATGGACATCGATCGTCACATTGCATCGTTACTTTCAGGAGGATGCCTTCCAGAAAGAGATTTAAAGTTAATTTGCGAAAGAGCAAAGGAAATATTCTTAGAAGAGTCAAATGTGTAGCCAGTGAAGGCCCCAGTGAATGTTTGTGGTGATATTCATGGTATGCTACTATTGCTTAGTTTATAGGTCAATTTTATGATTTGCAAGCATTAATTAAAGAAGGAGGAGATATTCCAGCGCATAATTATATTTTTATAGGTGATTTTGTTGATCGAGGATATAATAGTGTGGAAACCATGGAATATTTACTTTGTTTAAAAGGTATGAATTGAAAGTAATGATCAATAGTGAAATATCCTGGTAATATAGTTTTGTTGAGAGGAAATCACGAATCCAGACAGTGCACTTAAGTTTACGGATTTTATGAAGAGTTGTTAAGAAAATATGGGAATAGTAGTCCTTGGAGACTGTTTATGGAAGTTTTTGATTGCTTACCATTGGCTGCTTTAATTGAAGGTTAAATACTCTGTGTGCATGGTGGATTGTCTCCAGATATGAGGACAATTGATTAGATCAGAACCATCGATAGAAAAGTAATAGAAATTCAAAAACATTTAGATTGAAATTCCACATGAAGGTCCATTTTGTGATTTGATGTGGTCAGATCCTGAAGAAGTAGAGTATTGGGCTGTTAATTCTAGAGGAGCAGGATATTTGTTTGGCGCTAAAGTAACAAAGGAATTTTGTAGACTTAATGATTTGACCTTAATATGTAGAGCACATCAATTAGTTATGGAAGGATATAAATACTGGTTCCCTGTATGATTTTCACATTTATCTTAGGACCAAAATTTAGTAACAGTGTGGTCTGCTCCTAATTATTGTTACAGATGTGGAAATATAGCGTCGATTTTATGCTTGGATGAGTAACTGTAATAAACATGGAAGACATTCAAGGAAGTACCAGAGAGTGCTAAAAGTACAAATCCTAAAAATGTTCTTCCATATTTCTTATGAAGTATTTTTTTAAATATTAATACATTTTTATACATCAATAATTTCAATTAATTGATTTAAATTCTGTTTTTGAAGCTCAATTTAAACAATAAATGTATCTATAATAAGGCCTTTTGAACCACTTCGAAATCTACTTCAAACTTGTTAAATTGGCATTTTTAATACAAATAAGTAAAAATAGGAAAATTTCCTCCTATTAATAGAATATTGATAAGAAATAAGGACGAATGAAAATTTGTTTAATTTCTTAATGGCTTAAAAGCTGAATTTAGGTAAAAATATTCTATAAATAATATTAAATTGAAATTTAAAAACATCTTCTTGATAGTTTCTTTAAATAAAATCCTAGAGGTTTCCACGCTTTTAATTTCCTAATTCAGAAATTTCGATTGCTTCCTATTGGAATTTAGCAGTATTATAGCTGATTCCTCTTCTTTTCTTTTTATAAGGATATATCATTGCCCTTTTGCATAGCAAATAAAGAATGTCTTTCACCCATTGTATTTATTTTCTATTTCTTTCTTAAATCAATTTATTTAATTCTCAATTTATTTTCTTATAAAAAAAATGAAGATATCTTTCCTGTTGCTTTTTTCGAAACTTAAAGAAACCTAAATATTATGCACTACTATCTTTTCAATAGACTTATCCTTTTTCTTAATTTTCTGTATCTCATTGTCTACATCATTTTAATAAATATAATATTACAAATTGATGAAGAGGAGTTTTATTTAATAAAAATCAAAAGTAGCATGATATTAGCATATTAATAGTTAACAAACCAATAAAAGAATTGTAATTCCAATATAAGAAAATGCTACTAGGTATTTAATAAAATAAAAATTAAATTATTGAAGAGGATTTGAAGAAGAAGTAATTGATACATTAAGGATGTTTTTGGATTTCTTTCTTAATTTAAAATGCTTGCAAGTCTGAAACTAATTTTTACGATTGCTACCAATATCATAATTTGAATTTATTATCGATATTGAAAGTTCCAACAATGACTGATTAACATTGAGAATTTATAATAATTAAATATAATAAACAATTTTATTATATTATTTTATTGTTTTTTAGACTAGGCTGAAATAATAGCTATAAAACATTGTTTCTATAAACAAAGCAGAAGAACAAATTTTCTGATTCTGATATTTAATTTTCAGAAATTAAATTTATTAAAAGAAGATATCCAATTGGAGAATAATATTTTAGATTCATGTTCTTTACAATAATTCGATTCAAATTGATCAGGTTTTTTATAAATTTGACGCTTATCTAACATTAGTCTTATTTGTACAAGCTATTATTCTTAAAGGATTAATCATGTAAGAATAATTTATTTGATTTTAGTTATAATTAAATTAATAAAATTTGCAATTTAAGACTAAAATTCAATAAAGAATGGATTATAATGGCTAATGAGATCATAACAAAATTATATCTTTTTATATCACATCATTAACGTTTTTATCTTCATTATTAGTTTCTATACTAATAAGTATTACTTAAAAGGGTAGAGTAGTTTTTTAAATTTAGGGAAAAATTAACACTGTGGTGCGATAATAGAATTATAATTCTAAAATGTAAAGGTAAAGTTTCTTGGTAAAGGAGAACAAAATTTTTGATCTGAGTATTAATAAATTTGCTTTTATTTTTGAATTTATTAAAAAAAAAACAATATTTGAAAGAGAATATTTTTTTGGATTTAAATTAAAAAGCAGAAGAAACTAAAGAGCACTATATTTAATCTCTAACCTTTGTATTGTAGAGCATTTAATTGGCAATTTCTTAATAATATAATACTTCACAAACGTTTATTTACTTTTTGAAAGAGGATAAATATTGTTAATAAAAAAAGCAGATTTTTAGGCAAACCTTTTAGACAAATCTATGAATTTCTAGAAATCAATTAAACGTATCAATAAAGAAAGATTTAAAAAAATTATAATTATTTATAACTCTCTATAACATTTAAAGTCTGAAGGCATCAATTTATTGGCATTTTGTAGTGGGATTTATTGTCTAGAATTTTCAATATAAATTGTGTCGAAAGCTTATTTTGACAATTAAAACATCTAATTTCTAGGCAATTTTCTTCAACTTGTTTTCTAATATGTGTTTCATAACAATTTGTACAAGCAAGTACATTACAGTTATCATGTTTAATCAAGATTTCTTCAAAAATACAAACAATGTATACCTTTAAATTATTCGCATTTCCCGCATTTATGTCCTCTACCTTATTAATTCTAATGATTCTTTCTGTCGAATTGTCCGAGCTATATAATTAATTTAAAAATTTACAAGTTTTTTAATGATGATTATTGTAACCCAATTAATAATATAAAGAATATCAAGCGTAAAGGCTTTTTTGTGAATATCCCAATAATTGTTGAGATTGATATTTTGTAATTATTATTAAAAAGGTGAGTTTTCTCGAAAGTCTTTGCAAGCCTTTAAATGCTATTTGATACCAATTTAATTTTAGTTAACTTAGTCTGAATTACAGTCAGAGCAAATAAACGGATCAAGGCTTAATAAAAATTCTTCATATTCATCACTATAAAATTCCTAATCTAAATCGTTTTAATTGATTTCGTCAATTATGATCTCTGACATTGATTTTAATCCAAGTAAATCAAAATAGGAATAATTTTCAATATCTTTTAGATTCTTGAGCTTGCTTATAAATGGGGAACTTTCTTTGCATATTTGGCAAGCATGTACATGTGCAAAGTATTCCTAAGGGTGTAATTTAATTTTAGCGGAACAATTTGTAATATATCTAATGTCTCCTATATTAACTCCTAAAACTGCTTCAGCTTTCATGAAGAGTAATAGAATTTGAAAATATTTAATTTTAATAATCCAATAAATGATTAAACAATGGAGTGAATAATCATATAAACACAATCTTTAATAAAAATGCTTTAAAGCTAGTTCAAATATTCATTATATTTGCTTTCTTTTTGTAAATGTGGTGAATATTTTTATTATCATGAAAAGTAATTCGGATAAATAATAACAAATAAATTCAAATAAAAATGTTAAAAAATACTCCCTCAAAGGTAACTCTAAATTATCAAGAAACCTAAGAAGAGACAGATCCTGAGGGTTATACTCTGATTTATGAATAAGAAATAATGTGTTAAATCATAGTAGATGAAGGAGATTAATAATAAACATAAGAAACTCTTAATGTGAGAGTATTTATTTTAGGAAGTGAGCAGACACTTGAGAGAATGAAAATTGAATTAAGTTGTGAAAATGATCTATTTTTCCATTTCATTCATGAGTAAATTTATTGAATAACAAGTAGTATAAATGAAGCAGCATTTTAAAAAATCAAAGATGGATAGCAATTGACAGCATCTTTTATTGATTATCCTGCCATTTGTATTAAGTGTCTAGATAAGGCTCACAAAGACCCCAATAAATACAGTGCAGTGTTAAGAATTACTTAAGAAGGCGATGCTGTTATTGAAATAATTTAGCACACAGAATACAAAAATGTTGAATTAATTCAATTCTAATTTTTCTCTTTGCCTGAAGATGCTATTCGTATGGCGATTACAAAAAAATATTAAAAAGTCAAACAAAGGTTATCCTAGATGGAAAATAAACTTAAGGATGTATAGATTTTGTAGTGATTAACATTTTAGATTAATGATGTTGTTAAAGTAAAAAATCCTCAACTGCTTTTACAAATGCAAAGAATGAACAGATGATATAAAATAAAAAATACCTATTCATTCGATTATAATAAATAAGGATAAAATAGAGCAACTGATAAACTAGAATATTTTCACAAAGCTCTTAAGTAATTCTTTGTTGATAAATGTTATAATGGGTATTTCTGATGATCTTTATCGTTTTTGACTAAAATTTCTCATCTCCTAACGACATATATATTTCTAAATAATATTTACTACTCTATCAGTAAAACCAGACAATATTATAGTTATTTAACTTTTTGAAAATTTAATCATTTCCTACAATTTTTAGTATTGTTATCAAAGATTCCAACACATAACTTGAATTATGAAAAAAATTGAAATATTATAAATGAAATATTTCAATCAATGCACTAATTGAGCCGGTAAGTTTATTAGAGATAGTAAAATTTTATACAATTAATTTTAATTGAAAACATAATCAAAATGTTTTTTAGAAAATTAATTACGAAATGAATAACATGAAGAAGCTTAAGTAAAATTATTAAAGTGAAGATTCAGTAGTTTTGACTAAGAGAAAAAAAGAATTTAGAGCAAGATTATATAGAATAAATTCTTTACTAGTTGTAAATGATATTAACAAAATTGAAAAATTCGTTGTCATAATTAGAATAAAATTCAATTATTCAAGTCTTCAGATTATTATTTCAGAATTTGGAATTAAGGCTTAAATTCCAAATTTTTCAATACTCATAGGAAGTATGTCCTTAATAAATTGAGTTTATTCATCTTTGTCATATAATTATTTGATTTCATTTCTATTTAATGTAAACACTCTCAACAACACATCAAATATAATTTATTCTCCTTATATTATGAAGATATCTAAAATTTTTGCTGAAAATTCAATAGGAGTTTTGTAACTCATCAACCCAAAAAAGTATTAATCCATAAAAAATATAAATGGTTAATCTAAATTGCAAATTACTTTATATACATCAGGAAGATTCTATTGCAATAATAACTCAAGATGTTAAACCATTGATTTTAACTTTTTCATGGATTTATTGTATGTTTATGACCAATTCATTTTAACATTAATAAATAAAAACATTTAATAAGCTTTCATCTCCCCAGAAAATAAACTGTTGTTATCATCCAATAAAAAGAGTAAAAGCCCCATAATATAATTCATTCCTTAAACATATCCAATACTTGGGTCTTAATTAGCATATGCTCTCAATAAATAAAATAATCTTCTTTAATTTAAGGAAAAAAAGTCATTTAAAAGTTTTTCATCAATTATTGATTTTATACTATCTAGTTGTTATGAAGCTCTTTAAACATGCTTTTTACTTGACTTTCTTTTACTTTTATAAAACTATAGATGTGAGTGAGTTCTTTCAATATCCCTAAAGATGATGTTATCTTAAGCGCATGGATTTTAGGCAAATAACTTATAATCTACTGGGGGAGGTACTGTTTTATTTGCAATCCAAGGATATATAATTGATCTTAGAGATGGGTCGAAATTCTTTTTTAATTAACTTAACACTTAGTTTCTATCCATATACTAGAAGTCAACATTTTATATATACTCCTTCCATTAATCGTTTTCCCATTTATTTTCATTTGGGATTATTCGTATAAATTAATCATTTGTAGCCAAATCCAAGTCATGATTGTCTTATTATAATATTTACTTGAGTTTAGAATAATAATTAAAAATCATAAAAATTAAATAATTAAAATCTTCTGTTTTTTTTTCTAAATTTCCAACTTTTTATTTATGCAATAATCAAAGAAATTTCCAAATGCAGAAAATCTTATTGATTGCAATATTTAATTATTAATCGAAAAAATGGTAAAAAAAAATCAAATTTTTGTTGAGACTGGATTTATTGAAAAATAAATTATTATTATTAACTCGAAGAATAATATAATGCAATATTGGAATGCTCTTTAATATTAGAGATTCCCAATAAATTACATTATTCATAAAAGGAATAGATTTTTCAAGATGAGTTTCGATATTTGGAAAAGCCAAGTAACTTTTATTGATACAGAATAGCTTATCTTCTGTAACTAAATCTGTGGATACATCAATGTCTCTTACATATTATTAGGTAATGTTATAGAGGGCATCTTAAGGCCATGGATGAACCAATCAATAACAGTAGAGTTGATAAAAGCAGTGAATCTACTAGCTCTTTTACGGAGAGACTCACCTGCTGGTGAGAAACACAAAGTCATCTGTAAATTCTATCTTACTTTATCAATAAGCCATCCCCAACATGAATCTCTTGTATCTAGTCTTCCCTCAACCTTTACTTTTTGTCTAATTTGATTAATCAAATCTTCCTTTTCATCTGAATTGTAGAGTTCTGCCACTTCTCCTGACGTTAGTAAATCAGTGATGTATGTTAAGAATCTCCCTTTTTTAATTTGACCATCATTAAAATAAGAACATAATACGTTCAACTTTGACACCTGATTTCTAGTAAAGTAATTGCAAATCTTTCTTAACTTATTCATACCATAATTGCTCAAGAATGTAATAATGAAGAGTGTGTAAGTCATAATAAATACAGGCAATTTAATTAATGATTATTTCTACTACCTCCTATTCCTATTAATAATGTATTTCTTCTTGAAGGTACATACATGTTTTTAAGAGTATTTTTCAAATAACACTAATCCACATATGCAAAGTTATCATTTTATTCTTTGAATGCTCTGGTAATTACTGATTCCAATTTATCATTAGGCATCTAATCATAACACTTATCTTGGCAAAGTATTCACTGAAATCAAATTGAGTGAACTATGTTTTTGAACAAATCAAACATCAATGCCTAATAGGTATTAAGATCATCCATTGAGTTTAATCTATCGCCATATGTTTTCAGATTCAGGAATCCATATTCTTATTAATTTATCTGAATCAATAAATTTAGCTGGATCTGCTAATAACAAACTTTAAATAACATTGGAAATATGTCTAAGATTGAAGTCATAATGGAAATTTATGGCTGTCTTTCTGAAATTCTCAATGACACTTTTATGTAATTGTAAAGCAGCTTTGATAATTGTAGGTCCATTTTCAGTCAAGGCTGGTTTGAATCTCTTAAGATGGCCTGAAAAGAATGTATCGTAGATTAAGAAAAAACTTTATGTCAAGAATAGGAATTGAAACAGTCCAAAAGTGTCTTTAATATCTTGGATTAACAAAGGATGACCAGCAAGCATATTCATAGCAGCTATTATTTAAGCGTTGACGATATCTTATAAACTCAATTTATCTAAATTATGCCAATGGCCATTCTCTGCATGTTATCTTAACAATTCAACGGCTGGTTAAGTATCAAAGTTTCTGAAAGCTCTTCATAAAAGTAATCAAAAACAATGCCAATAAGGCTTTGCAGAATGAGATGATCATAGAAATAGGATTGACTGAAATCAAATTCCAAAACCATTTCTTCAAGAGTTTCAAAATACCTTAAATATAATTTTCAAATTGCTATTATAAAGTTGACTTCAATTAATCATCATTAAAGTTATTCTTAACTCATGATTTCAGATAAGCTCTCCATTAATATCCCTTGTCATCTGAAATGTATAAGATACCTTAGACACTGAAGCAGGAGTAACAAAGCGGAGATCTCTGATTTCAAAAAGTATTCTCATGTGTGGTTTCAATGAAATTCTTTCATTGTTCGAGAATGTCAATATCTTATTGTCATCCATCACTAATCATTGACTCAATCGAATTAGTATAAGTCTCCATCAAGTAATATCAATTTAGGATTAATACCTTGAATTTCACTAAGAGATCTCATAACTTTAGAAACAAAACCATCCTTTCATTTCTTTGTTGGTAAATTTGAACCATACAAATCATTGATAGTTGGGAATGAATCTGATAATAATTCAGAGAAAGCATCCATATCTTCTTATTCAATCTTTGGAATATTGAAACTCTCAATGCTCTTAACTCTCATGAAACTACCCACTAAGACTAAGACTGATTTAATGGCTCTAAGTCCACAATCATAATACAGTTATTTTGATAATAAATCTCTGCATAGAATTAATAAAGTAACAAATTTATGTGCCAATGTCTTTGCCTATTCAAATCCTTCAGCCATAAATATTTTTAGCAAATCAATTCTATATTTGGGACAACCGCTGAAGTTGGTCTAAACACTGCTTTCATTTCTTCTGGTAATTCTGCTCCTCCCAAGTAACCTGGATTTATTGTAATAAACACACTACATGTTGGATCTAAAGAAATCTCCCCTCCTTCTAGGAATAAAACTGTCTTTTTCTATTATTTGATACACTTGTTTCAATTGAGTGCATTAGATCAAATATTTAATTAAATAAAGCATCAGTGGCTGCTTTGAATTAGCCTGAACAGACTGGCAAGATCTCTGGTGATAAACTATGAAATTCATCAAAACAACCCATCCCCCAGAATTAGCAAGTCCCTTATAGATATTAACCATAGATTCATAATTCATTTCTGATCTGCTATTTAACAAATAAAATACTTTAGCCAAAGAATTTGCCAAATCTTTAATGATTTCAGTTTTACTAGTTCCTGCTGGACGGGTAAGTGCACAACCCATCTTTAAATGCAAGATCTAAGTGGATGTGAATTAAATGCGATCTGTCAATGGTGTGATAACCAATCTTGAATCGTTACCCAAATATTCATATGAATAATTGAAGGATGCATCAGTAATTCTAAGATGAGCATCTTTATTGTTCCAATAGAATTTCAATTAAGATTGCCATTAAAATTAATCTGGCTTACGAACATGTTCATCAATCAATTTCCCAATGGTATCTCCATTGTGACCATCCACAGTAATCAAACACATCAATTTTTTATCTTAATGATTTAGTTAAATCTCCTCTAAAGAATCTAATTAACTTGGCTAGAGCCTCAAAATTTCTCTTAAAATAAACCTTAAGGGCATTCAAGTCTCCATTAGCTCTTTTTGCAAATGCTTTTACTTCTTGAGCCGACAACATAATGTTATTGACTAATAAACAATTTAAGCTGGATCTTAATCAATCCAAGTTTTTCTATCCAATTGTAATTGGCATGTCATAGAATCATAGAATTCAAATGATTTCTTGGCTAATTCTCTGAGAGTATCAATCAGGGCTTATAAATAGATTTCAACTTTATTTAACAATTATAAAGGTTTAACTAAAACTACTTCTTCATGATCAACACATGTAATCATCTTTTGACAATTTGTTTTTCATTAGATTTTTTTTATAATTCTAACTTAACAATAGCGTAGATATCTTTGACATAAATCTGTTAATTTAGGTAGGTGAACCACCATTAGAAACGATATCCAATAAATCATTGACACTAAAAACTTTTTGATCAATTTATATTTTTTCTAATTTTTCCACAATATTTTGGTTACTTACAGAACTTCAAGATAATCTTAATTTAACAGCCATTGCATAGTATCTTTCATATTCTTATCAAATTCAACGAATTATTCTGATTCTTTTGGTAATTCTTTCTTGTCTTCTTCTGATTGAATTAATAGGTTTTCCAAAAATGATCATGTCCTTTATACTTCTGGTAATATTTAAATAACTTCATAAATTGCTCCTAAATCTAATTTTCATTTTAACATCCTTCTCAAAGAATTTCACATATTTATTCGATAAAATATTGTTGAACTACAACTAATGTTCTTCTAAGTTTTAAAAATGTTCATCTAACAATTTCAACGTTCTAACATCAGTATCTTTGTCTTTCAATAATTCAAATCGCAATTGTAAAGTCTTTGGTTTTATATACTCCTAGTATTATTAGAATAAATCTTAATATTTGATGTTTTTTAAATGGTTCCTATAATCCAAGGGGTTTTACAAATGAATTAGAAGTTTAGAATGAAAATATTTGTCTGCAACTGTATATGAATTATATGTTACTTTAAAATTGCCATAAAGATGCACTCTATTTAGTAATATGGTGTGTTACTGCTCAATTATATTTGAAAGCACTAACAGGGTGTTTTTAAATTTGCCAAGCTTCTGTAGGTTATCGATGTTATGAAGAGCAATTCGGTTCTTTTTGAATGAATGAACATCATTTCTGCTTTGAGCCTGTGTTCGTATTATTTTTCTACATGTGTTATGGTGGTACTATATATTATCCAGGTTTTATACTCGTGTAATATAAGCTTTAGAGATTTTGGTTGTGCTAAGCAACTCAATCACCTAAATAAGCATTAACTTAAAATATTCAGCTACATCGCCTATTTATACTAATGTGCATGCTACCTGTTGAACTTAATGTACNCTAATTAACTTGGCTAGAGCCTCAAAATTTCTCTTAAAATAAACCTTAAGGGCATTCAAGTCTCCATTAGCTCTTTTTGCAAATGCTTTTACTTCTTGAGCCGACAACATAATGTTATTGACTAATAAACAATTTAAGCTGGATCTTAATCAATCCAAGTTTTTCTATCCAATTGTAATTGGCATGTCATAGAATCATAGAATTCAAATGATTTCTTGGCTAATTCTCTGAGAGTATCAATCAGGGCTTATAAATAGATTTCAACTTTATTTAACAATTATAAAGGTTTAACTAAAACTACTTCTTCATGATCAACACATGTAATCATCTTTTGACAATTTGTTTTTCATTAGATTTTTTTTATAATTCTAACTTAACAATAGCGTAGATATCTTTGACATAAATCTGTTAATTTAGGTAGGTGAACCACCATTAGAAACGATATCCAATAAATCATTGACACTAAAAACTTTTTGATCAATTTATATTTTTTCTAATTTTTCCACAATATTTTGGTTACTTACAGAACTTCAAGATAATCTTAATTTAACAGCCATTGCATAGTATCTTTCATATTCTTATCAAATTCAACGAATTATTCTGATTCTTTTGGTAATTCTTTCTTGTCTTCTTCTGATTGAATTAATAGGTTTTCCAAAAATGATCATGTCCTTTATACTTCTGGTAATATTTAAATAACTTCATAAATTGCTCCTAAATCTAATTTTCATTTTAACATCCTTCTCAAAGAATTTCACATATTTATTCGATAAAATATTGTTGAACTACAACTAATGTTCTTCTAAGTTTTAAAAATGTTCATCTAACAATTTCAACGTTCTAACATCAGTATCTTTGTCTTTCAATAATTCAAATCGCAATTGTAAAGTCTTTGGTTTTATATACTCCTAGTATTATTAGAATAAATCTTAATATTTGATGTTTTTTAAATGGTTCCTATAATCCAAGGGGTTTTACAAATGAATTAGAAGTTTAGAATGAAAATATTTGTCTGCAACTGTATATGAATTATATGTTACTTTAAAATTGCCATAAAGATGCACTCTATTTAGTAATATGGTGTGTTACTGCTCAATTATATTTGAAAGCACTAACAGGGTGTTTTTAAATTTGCCAAGCTTCTGTAGGTTATCGATGTTATGAAGAGCAATTCGGTTCTTTTTGAATGAATGAACATCATTTCTGCTTTGAGCCTGTGTTCGTATTATTTTTCTACATGTGTTATGGTGGTACTATATATTATCCAGGTTTTATACTCGTGTAATATAAGCTTTAGAGATTTTGGTTGTGCTAAGCAACTCAATCACCTAAATAAGCATTAACTTAAAATATTCAGCTACATCGCCTATTTATACTAATGTGCATGCTACCTGTTGAACTTAATGTACTTTGCCAACAATCCGATTACAATTTTAAGAATCGAAATTATTAGCTTACTAGCTAAATCTCAGTCTTTTGTATTTTATGAGTCGATTATCAAGATCAACATTCCATTCAACAAATTTGTTTTCTTCATATACAAGTGTTTCTAACAAAACACGAAAATTATGCAACTTAAAATTCGCTACTTTTATCATAATGGTTTTGCGTTAAAATATATTCTAATAGTGATTCTGTCACCACAATAAATAAATAGTTGTCCTTGACAAGATGCATGCCTCGTTATTGGATCGCTTATGAATCATCTTAAGCATGCACATCTATGCAATTAATCTTAAGAAATTGTTAGGGATATTTTTTGTATTTATTTTATAAGTCTAGCATAAACCATCTCCTAAATGTAAAATTGTTCCGCACTATTTATTTTCTCATCTCTGATTCTTTTAGCAGTTGCTAAAAACATATAGTTTTAGAATCATTAAACATTTACTTCTCATCTCAGACATTGTTTTTGCCCTTTGAAACTTAATATTACTATTACTAATCCTCTTTATTATTATCTGATAAAATAAATGAAGAGTTACTCTAAAAATTATTTGTTTAAGACCTCTTGCCTTACCTCTTACATCCTGCTTAGTTTTTCTTACATTATAATTGAACTAAAAAGTGTTCAATGGTTACTGTAATGTTTATACAATGTATCGGATATTAATCTTATCCCATTACTATACAAAGTGCAAAACCACTCGATAAATCAGAAGGTTCAGGTACTGATTGATTGTGGTGATGATGTCATTGTTACCAACCATCTTTGAAATGATTCAAGTTCATTTTTGCATTGTAAAAGGTAATCATAAATTTTTAGATGTGGGAATAGATAATCAGACTGATCCTAAGTAAGAATTATGCATGCAAATTCTAATGCTTAAGATGCTATGATTTTAGTCATAAACTAATGCCTAATCTCAAGGAAATGATAGTTAAATAATTTGGAATCTATCCTTGCAAAGTCTATTATTTGTTACTGATAGACTAGATAGGAATAATTTTTTAAATGCTTTTCTTGATCCCACTTAACCATCCCCTATATTTATTAAGGACAAAACCAATATTAATTTATTAGTTTTTCTGTTGAATCAGTGAACGCTATTATTCCTTTATATTTTAAAGCAAGACTCAATCAGTGTTCTTAATTCAGAGCAACTATATCATGTAGTATCTTAAGTTGAAAATCCTACAAAGTGCTAATGGTACCAATATATACCAAATTGAGTCACCATGGCATTTGAAACAAAGATAATAATCCACTATTTTATAGAAAATGTATTAATACAACTTGAGGATGTCCTCTTGGCAAATCCATCCAAATGGAAATATGATTTTATTGCCTCTCTTTACAGTAATAAATCTTGGCGAAATAAAAATGCATGTGCTACCTTTGTTCTTCAACTTGGGCTATATATACAAGATGCAAGCCATCAGATAAAACTTGTTCAAACTTGGTCACTTGCATGCTTTATTTGTGATGATCATAATAATACTTGTAAAAGTTGTGCAACAAAAAGCACAATTGGGTGTCTTTTCGATTAAACTCATGATAGTATAATACAATATGTTACGCTAAATGCTCTACCTTTGATAATTATTGTATAAATAGACACCTCCCTTAATATCATACATAATAAGGTATAAGTTGACTTATGCTCGGATGGTACAGAAAAAATTCGGTTTAGATGATAACAATAAATGGTAATTTGAATCCATTACTATGATAACCATTAGTAAATGGATTCCAAAGATTTGAGACTGTATGATATCGGCCATACTATATGCTTTTTTGGGATGATTTAAACTTACTTGGATTAGGACTTAGATAATTAGATGATACTCCTATATATATCACACATTATTAATTTCAAAGAACAAGGAAATTTGATGGAATAATTTAGCAGGAGTATTTGATGAAGAATTCACAGCCTCTAGTGATTAAAGAGGCTAATTAGAGGAACATGACCTCATAGATTAATTGAAGAAAAAGACAACAAAGATATTTTAACGAGACTAATAGTAAAAGAGATAAAAGTACACTAGAGGATATATTGATACAATAAAATGAACCCATCCTTTAGTAACAAAAATGTGGAGACTGAATTCCAAGAGATCAACCTCCATAACTTATAAATGATAAGGAATAATTAACTCTCCAAATTTAAGGCAAAACTTCAAAGGTATATCTGCTGCCCTACCTATACCTTAGAGGAAATTCTAATTTCAATTAAGAGAGATATTGAATAGACTCTTATAAGGAAAGAAGATCTGAAAAGATGAATGAATAATCTAACTTTAAGAATTTATTCATGAAATCGAATATGAAAGAGAAAAGGAAGGATATAGATATATTATACTGATAAGGAATATAACATTCTCCCAAGATGAACTATCAGTAGGATGAATTATTATGACAAATTAATAATAATTGAGAGGAATACCCTTATCTGTTGAACTACTTCAACAATGGATAAAATTCAATTAAGCTATTTTAGGCATAAAATTGGAGGATACGAATTTCCAATACAACCTAAGGAATTTTCCAATAATAGATTAAATAATACTCTGAAGTTTTTAAGAAAGGTAATAGGGTTTATAAAAACTGAATTATGATTATTAGGTGATCTTAACGTGAAAATGTGTGAAGTGAAACACTTGCTAACTAAATTGAAGAATAAAAAATTGTATGGCTATAGAGTTATAGGTCCTTGTATAAGGACATTTAATTCATCAGAATAGAATATGCCTACACTTAACTAAGATGGATTGCCATGTATAAAGAGGTTGTGATAGTAAAAGACTTAGAGCCATGTGACCTAGTTTTCTTTAACATCCCTCCTTGTGTAAGCCTCTGTACTGTCAAATTTGTAAACATCTTCACTTAAGAGAATAGGTCGTTCCATTCTCATGTGCTATAAATAGAAGTTATATATGAAACAATATATGATGTTATTGCAGTTATTAATAATATTCATAAATTTGCTTACGTTAGATGTGTGAAAGATGATGTAGAAAATTTCGTTCAACTGGCCATTAACTTTGGAGAAGAGAAATCGAAATTAGGTAATTTATGATGATTTCCTATCTCTAAATGTTGTGTTGAGTGTGGTTTCTTTTCTTGTAAATCATCTGTGGATTTGAGAGATAATTTTTAACGTTATCTTTTTGATAAATTCTCTAAAAAATTTACAAATTTGTGAGAGGATTCCATAGAAGTTATGAGATATCAATTAACAATATAATAATAGTATATCTGGGGCTAAAACAAAGCTTTGCAAATTTTTTTAATTTTAGTCTATACATCTACCTGTTAATAAAGTTCCGACTAACAAATTATAAGCCTAATGTAGAGTTAGCAGTAACCTCAATTTCAAATGTACTCAGTGCATCTACATTTACTTCTTTTATTATTGTAGCGATAAATGTGACAAACTTATGCATTCCAAAATAAATTAAAAGATCCGCTAATCAAGATCAAGTACAACCTGTTTATAAAAGATAGACACAGCACATATTGAGTTTAAAATAGAAAAACTGGTTAGATTGCAGTCCTAATTTACAACTTTAAAGTAGAAATATAATACAAAATCCTTATAAAATATTATTTTCCTGTAAAATATTGTCTATCTACAGGGATGTGGTTAGACAAGATGAAACTATTCATTCGGTTGTGATCCATCTTTTAAGTGGTGCACTTCATATGAGAAAATGATATTTCCTCTCTTGGGGAAGCTTCAAATGACTGATCAACATATTCTATGCATTTCTGTCTCCGATTTATCATCCATAACTTGCATAAATCTTAATGATTACATACGTCTTTAACTTTTATGGTACTTTCAATACTTCCCTACCTAGTATGCTTCATGCAATACACATCTCTATAGTAAAGGTTGTTTTATCATTGTATAAGTAATTGCATTGTAATTTACAAGGCAAATTAATTTTAATAAGATTTCTGTCAAAAATTAACGCTATCCCTGAGCTAAATTAATGCAGCTCCCTCTTATTACTTTTAATCCTGTAAATTTGAGTGATGCACACTGCTCATCTGTTTGCTGAAATGACCTTAAGAATTTTATTCATTTCTTGCGGATTTAACTTATAAGCACTAATTATATTTAGGAGATCTCACTAATTGCTTTGATAAGCTACAGATGATTTGTCTCTGTATAAAATCATGTAATATTCTTATAGTTCAGTCTTATTTCTATAAAGATCTATTATTCAGTTGAGAAACCTTTAATTTAACTATTAAATGTGCTTATTGAGTTTTATGGTGCTTCTTTAGTACTACTTACAGATCATCTTCATCAAGTTCAATTCAATAGGTATTCATCTCAATCACGCCTAAAAGTAAGTCTTATGAAATTGCATATTACATCAATTTAATTAACCCACCTTTTTTAATGTACTTGTTTTGATGGATTTTGGAAACTGATAAACTTAATCTAAAAATTTAGAACTCAAATGTATCAGATCCAGTAGCTAAGTGATATACCATACTCACTTACAAATCAATGCAGTATATATGAGATGAAAATCATAAAGCTGCTGTAAGAATAATGGAGGACTTTATTACGGCTCCCTGCAGGACGTGTCACTCTCAAATTCTTCTTTTGGATGTCACTGGTGCGGATAGTACATTTAGAAATCAGTTACCTTAAATTGAGAATTTGTTAGCTGCAACTGTGTCTCTGATATCAAGTAGTTGTAACAATTTTTCTTTTAATTCTACTAGAAATATTATGGAACAGTGTATTAGTAGTGCAGTAATTCTTGCAGTATTTGATGAAACATCTATAGAAAATACTTTAGTTTGCCTACAACTAAATATTTCTATAATCGCCCTTGTAATTAATGCAGTCTTCAATTGCCTTTTAGTTACCAACCAACTGAAAAATAGGTTAAGAAATTCAATTGCATCCAGAAAAGCAAAACACTCAATTTCAGATTGAGATGAGGAATGATGCACTTATTTTAATCGCTGCCGTAATCTTGGCAATAGGAATGGAGGGTTTTCACTATCTGTATAGTCTTCTTGCTTATCAATACTTGTAAGCATTATCATTCACCTGTTACTTTGAAGTGTAGTTCTGGTAAATTTATAACTTGAACTCTTAAAGTAATTGACTTCACTCTGACCTTTTTGCTATTAATATTTAGATTAACAGTATCTAAACCATGCACACCTTCTTTATGAGTACTTTAATAATGATAAAACTACAGAGTCTACTTTTAAAGCTGCTCTCCCTTACCTGTAGAAATTTAAATTCTTCTGTAAATAGTGTTTCTCTAATATTTTATACGTTTCACAGAATATTGTCATTCCTTCATGAGAATGTTTTTATAATTAGTACACCTGACAGTATTACCTTATAATTAATTTTAGCATCTATCATCAAAATAGGCGAAGTTTTAATGTCTAATATTACTTAAAATAATCAGATAAATTTAATGAGTATATTATAAATATTTTGCTGCATATCTGAAACTGGGTATATGTTTGTATTGTACACATTCTATATGTGATAATTATGTTCCTGAATTTGTCTAATAAAGCAAGTTCAGCTAAGCACCTATCTTTTTGTCTTGCTTGCACGTATTAGAGCCAAATTTATTATATTCTGATATTTCCTGTCTTATTAATTTTTATAATAGAGATGCAGAAGATTATGCATTAGATATCATGACTATCAAAATCACTGTTGTAATTATGTTGATTCACATCCTTGATATTTCAAATATTCAGGCACCATTTTAGTAAATTATAGTAGATGTTATGCTATAAGAAGAATCTATCGCACCATATTTGTCCTCACAGCTGGAACAAAGTCAATAAATGTAGGAGCTAAACACGGTTAACAACTCCTGCATACAGTATCATATAGAGTTGTGTGTTTATACCACCTAAAGAAACAATAGGCAAAGTAGCTCTATTCTTGAACTGAACATTTTAGGTCAAGGGTGTTAAAAGGAAGACAAGTCTTAGAACATAATTGAATGTACAAAAAGGACCATTTTGGTAATATTGATTAAGAAGCATTCAGAAAACACTTGGATTAATTGCTTAATTCAAACAAATTATTGCATCATCAGATTTTAATAGTCTATTTAAAAAATCTCCTATTTTAAAATGATAATAAATAATAACCCAATTGATATACGGCAATACATAAGTTTAATCTAATTTCATGGTATATCATAGCAATTAATTGAATCATCATGTAGTTTTAGAGTATGTATTTAATTTCAATAATTAGAAAATGCCAATGAAAGTCCTATTTAAATGATTTCAAATATTGCCCTATTAATGGCATCATTTTGCTTTCCTAATTATATTAANTGTTACTTTGAAGTGTAGTTCTGGTAAATTTATAACTTGAACTCTTAAAGTAATTGACTTCACTCTGACCTTTTTGCTATTAATATTTAGATTAACAGTATCTAAACCATGCACACCTTCTTTATGAGTACTTTAATAATGATAAAACTACAGAGTCTACTTTTAAAGCTGCTCTCCCTTACCTGTAGAAATTTAAATTCTTCTGTAAATAGTGTTTCTCTAATATTTTATACGTTTCACAGAATATTGTCATTCCTTCATGAGAATGTTTTTATAATTAGTACACCTGACAGTATTACCTTATAATTAATTTTAGCATCTATCATCAAAATAGGCGAAGTTTTAATGTCTAATATTACTTAAAATAATCAGATAAATTTAATGAGTATATTATAAATATTTTGCTGCATATCTGAAACTGGGTATATGTTTGTATTGTACACATTCTATATGTGATAATTATGTTCCTGAATTTGTCTAATAAAGCAAGTTCAGCTAAGCACCTATCTTTTTGTCTTGCTTGCACGTATTAGAGCCAAATTTATTATATTCTGATATTTCCTGTCTTATTAATTTTTATAATAGAGATGCAGAAGATTATGCATTAGATATCATGACTATCAAAATCACTGTTGTAATTATGTTGATTCACATCCTTGATATTTCAAATATTCAGGCACCATTTTAGTAAATTATAGTAGATGTTATGCTATAAGAAGAATCTATCGCACCATATTTGTCCTCACAGCTGGAACAAAGTCAATAAATGTAGGAGCTAAACACGGTTAACAACTCCTGCATACAGTATCATATAGAGTTGTGTGTTTATACCACCTAAAGAAACAATAGGCAAAGTAGCTCTATTCTTGAACTGAACATTTTAGGTCAAGGGTGTTAAAAGGAAGACAAGTCTTAGAACATAATTGAATGTACAAAAAGGACCATTTTGGTAATATTGATTAAGAAGCATTCAGAAAACACTTGGATTAATTGCTTAATTCAAACAAATTATTGCATCATCAGATTTTAATAGTCTATTTAAAAAATCTCCTATTTTAAAATGATAATAAATAATAACCCAATTGATATACGGCAATACATAAGTTTAATCTAATTTCATGGTATATCATAGCAATTAATTGAATCATCATGTAGTTTTAGAGTATGTATTTAATTTCAATAATTAGAAAATGCCAATGAAAGTCCTATTTAAATGATTTCAAATATTGCCCTATTAATGGCATCATTTTGCTTTCCTAATTATATTAACAATATTCCTAAATTATCAGAATTTAAATACTTTTTGAATTAAAAAATAACATATAATTTGGATTAAATTCAAGAGCTTTACCAATATTTATTATAGAGCCTTTTCTAATTCATTTAATTGTTTATAATACTTCTTATTTAGTACATAATAGAGCAAAACCAATTATTAAACTTAATAAAATCTTTTTCGATATAACACAGGATGACATTAGGAATCCTATTTTTACAAAGTGTTATATATTTTATAGCATATTAATATTTTTTATATCCGGTTATGCAATTACTAAAAAAAGGAATAAATATTCTTATTTATAATTTAATAAATATGCTTTCATTGGAGAATTGTTTAATTTTAAATTTAAATATTCTAATAGATTGTTTTATAAGTTGATATTTAATTTTTTAACCTAATCTCTTATTTGTTTTTTTATTAATCTCGATTACAAATTAATGTAAAATTCTAACAATATAAAAGATCTTAAAAAAATACATAAAAGCACTTTGAAAGAAGCACACAATAGATAACAATTTCTCTTATTATTCTATATGGTTGGAGAAGACGCCTCCTGCCATTTTTTCCTAATTTAAAATTGATTTCCTATTTAACCAAATTAATTTATTTCTATTCCTATATTAATTTGAAATTAAATAAAATACCTGACTAAAGTAAACTTTAGTTGTCCTATTAAATTGTTTTTGAATATTAATTTAACTATTCGTAATCTTAATTCAGAGTGTAAATCATTCTTTTTACATCAAATATATTATTAAGCACAAATTAACTGACTATAGTAAAGTTCTTATATTAAAAATATCAAATACCGAATTAATTTCCATACATAATCTCGTCTTCAATATACTAATATTGATAAAAATGTTTGATGTAAGAAAATGTTCTATTACAAAACGAAAATCTTATTAACTTAAGCCTTCAAAATTTAAACTAATTATCATAATAATCTCTAATTTTTTTGAAATTCTTCAGATTTTGAATTAGATAAATGAGTTATTAAGTTAGGTTGTAAATCAATTAGATTCTAATTGAATTTAGAAACCAAATTAAATTCACTAAATCCAACGAGGTCTTCTTTCAATTATTATGCTTATTAGGATTAATTGCACATAAAATACAGAACTATGATTTTAGATCTACAGCCAATATTTAAGCAAAACCCTTATACCTCCTGTCTTTCATATTTAATTTCTAAACACGTAAAAAAATTTCTATTAATTTCATTAAATATTTTCTTTTTGTAATATTAATTAATAATAATCTAAAATTTGTAAGTTAATTGAACTCGATTGTTCTTATTGAGGACAGAATTTATGACATTCATTTTGAATGCTTAAAAAATTTTCTCTTGACTAGTTTAGGGAAATTGAAAGTAATAAATTATATAGAGTTAAGAAATTACTCAAAAATACTTTTCTCTTATAAATATCTACTCCATCCTCCTTCATTTCTTTAGGAAAACTACAGCACTTTAGATGAATTGTACTGGATTTTCACTCTACAATGAACTATACAAAAGATTTATTCAAGAAATGCAATTATTCGAAATATTTATGGCCTCTATCACAATTTTTTCCTTTATTCTATCTCTTGTGACTAAAATTCTATCGTACAAGACATCTAGAGTTAAGTTGGTATGGTTAATTTTTGAGCTTATTATGCTATCAGTTTCTTACTTTTTTAAAACTATCCTGCTCTTTTAATCAGAGTAAGGATAATTCCTTACATGCTCTTTTACCATTTCAATTGAAAAGAATATTACTTTTGCAACTATCCATTAAGAGATATTAATTTTTGATTTGAGTAAGATTTATTTATAGTAGTATTTTATAATTATAAATCTATCCTTTTTTTAAAACCCCAAAAATCAAACAAGAATAATTTACTTTAATTATTATTACTATTATATCTAGCCAATGCAAACAAAATCTACATTATAAACATTTAAGAGATATAAAACTTACATAACTATTATATGCGTAAACTACTTTTATTGACTGAATTGCTATTAGACACCAACAATCGTTACTTTTCTTAAAGTGTCCACGTTTCAAAAATTTAAATAGAGGGTTTAAAATCATTATCGGTCTAAATTTGGATTAATTTAGGATAAATTTCGTTCAATGGAACTATTTTGGCTTCACATAAGTGAATATTTATCAAAGATGTGCTTGATTCCAATTATAAGTGTGTAAAGTAATTTAGCTCTCAATTCTCTACAGTAGATTCTTTGGATCACCTCTCATCTCATCAAAAGGTTTCGCATGTTGCGATATTCTCTTAAATATTAATTCTGAGCTTATGAAAACATCATCTTTTTTTGAAGGTTCCCCATTTTCATAAACCAAATTGAAAAATCTTGTGGATTACATTTATGCTTTGTTTAAATCTCCCCAAGTGAAGATGTGTTGATCAGGTTTCCCCTCGTTTCTGACCTCCTACATCCGTAAATCCAAATCATCCACTCCTTTTTGTAATTTTTACCTTGGTGGAACTAAAAATTGAACAACTA